CACACTAACACTAGTCCCTAAATTCGGCTCACTTCATATCATTTTAATAATTTAAAATATTAATCCTTAAATTTAAAGGAATAACTTAAGTACTTAAAATTTCATTTTTTTAAAATATAAGAATTAATATTTTAAATAGATTAAACAACATATACTTAATTGCATCAAGTTGAAATACAGATAATTGATGAGTTTTAATCAAGTTAAAATTATAAAAATTAAATTACACTGAATCATAATTTAAGGAATAAGTTTTAACTGAATCAAAACTGTAAGCCTTGAGTGATTAGTTTCAACAAATACCACAGCCATTAAGCTGTTTCTGGAAAAAGTCAAAGTGAGTGAAACAAACTACTAATTATTTATTGAGTAAAATACAGTGACCTGTCTTTTATTTTACTAAAATTACATAGACTTTTCTCCTATTTTTAAAATCTACACTCAAGTCCAATCTTTAACACGGTTGGAAATATTCCATTAAAGTTCCAAAATATTTAATTTTTTATTTATAACCATGTTAAAAATTTAAAATTATTAATTTTCCCTTATGACCTAGTTGTCTAATACTCTCTCAATTTATATAATTTTGTTAATATTTAAATATATAATTTAAAATTTTTATTAAAATTAATGAATTTTAAATAAAAATAAAGATAAATTATATTGAATAATCTATTATATTAAATTTTTATTTCATAAATTTTTTTACTGCATGTTTGAATAATATTTTAATCATGTATTTAATTTTTTAAAAAAATTACTAAATAAATACATTTACATGATAAAAAATTTACAATATAAAAAAATATGTATTAATTTTTTTTTTGGGTAATTTGAATAAATTTTAGATCCTATTTATATTTGGCGGTTAATGTTCTAGGCTATGTATAATAGAATATATAATCAAGCAATATGGTATTTTTTTTTTGTCTGAGTGTGCTTAAGAAGAAATTATTTGTGGGCTTTAATTATACTTTTCTATTATATTTGGGTTAACATTTGGTATTATAAAATGCAGAGTCCTAATGGTGATATAATCGACTACGTGCATATTTTAAATCAACCAACTTTTGATAATCCAAAACTGAAAAATCACAAAATTCAGACAAAATAATTTTGCTTAACGTGTCTTTTTTGGTTTTATTAGATTTTCTAACAAAATAATTCTAAGGTCAATTATGTCCTATTCCATGAAGATGAGGCCAACATTTCATCCACAAAGAAGCAATTTTTCAAAATCAAACCCAGTTGCTCAAATGTGGCACCAAAGTGGAAGTGGTCCAGAAGGAACCGTTCCCATAAGAAGAACAACAAAGGGCAGATTCTATCCAAAAATTTGTGAAGAAGATTATCCTTCATTTTCCTGGATCATTATTATACTCCCCGGATGGCAAAGATAATTAATAAAAATTAAACTTAAAAGACTGAATCAATAATTAATACAAACTTGAGGTACTAAAAATATCTTTATCCCTTGAAATACTTAAAATTTTGTTTGACATGAAGTGTAAATGAAGAAATACATGTGTTCTTTATCTAAATTAGTACAATCTTAAGAAGAATATTTTATTTTGTCACACTTCATATCCAGGAGGGGAGGGAAGGGTTTGAGATAACCTGGTTAGCAAAGAAAAGAGAGAGATAAGAGCCAAGGTAGCTTCAAAATGTGTTTTGAATCAAATTGTATTATGTGGTTGTGATGCATGACAAAATAAAATGTTATACTTGAAGTAAAATTTCTAGCAATTACAACAAATTTGAATACATGTAATTTCATGTCCTCCTTGAGTTAAATAAATTATCAATGTTGCTAATATTCACGGCTGTTTATACTGTACTATTTTATTTTATAAATATTATAAAATAATGTACTTTATTCTTTTGGGTAGCAACATAGTATATTATTTTATAAATATTTTTGATCCTAATCTATTTATACCGGTATAGTAGGGAGGACCTACAACATGACTGTCACTTAACGGACATCTCATATACACATAACACATCCATTCAATTTCTCAACTAAGTTCATCATTCATAATCCCCAGTCAAATATTTCAGCCACAATCAAAGTACTCTCCCAATTTTGACACCAAACCTTAATTATTTCTTGTAAATATTATTTCATACTTGGCAACTTTGATATTAAAAGTCACGGGAATGAATATTGCATGCATCAAACGTGTTCGCAAATAGATTCTCTCAAATGAGAAACTCGTGAGATTTGTTTTACATTAAAAAAAAAAGGTAAAAACAAAACATAAATCGGGTACACAATTTTTCATGTCACTGTATTTCCAATGTATGTCACAAATGTTACAGAATTCAAATAATACAAAATTTAAGCAACTTCTATACTTAACGTTTGTGTAATTGCAATCATTGTATGCGAAATTATATATATATATATATATATTATTTAACTATATACACATGTCAAATTATTAATATGATAAACTAATTTATGTTTATATGATTAGTTATATTATATTTTTAATAAATTATTACTTTGGTTAGCAAAATGAACTTAAAATCAAACAAATATTAAATTTAAATTATTAAATAATTTTCTTATCAGCATTCAAGCAAATTTTTTTATTTTTATTTTGTTAATGACAACAATTAATTATATCATTTATTCATAAATTGTATTATGTTATTTTTTTACTTTTATCTTCTCCATATTTTCCTCAAAAATTAGTAAAAATAAATTATTAAATTTTTGTCTTCTCTAAAAATGGTAAAAAAATTTCCCTTCTTTTATTGAAAATAAATTTTATCTAAAATGTTTCAATTATCTTAAAAATATTTTAATAAAAATTAATTTTAAAAACATAAAATTTGTCAATAGTCATTTTGAACAATTTTGTACTTTTTTATAAAAATTAATAACAATACAAAATAATTCCATGGATATCATATATGACCTAACCTCTAATCATTCTCAACCCCATAACAATATGGCGGGTTTGAATAATTTTTTGTATTCTTCTAGGTATTTAATTTCATATATATTTTGGAGTGAATAGAGATTTTTTTGTGCTTATTGTAAATTTAAAATAATCAGTTATAAAAATCTCATTACTAACTTCTTTACATGATGACAAAAAATTGAATTTGAAATATTAAATTTAGAATATTTTTATTGTGATGTATATTTCATTTATCCTTTAAACAATTTGACTTTAGATATTATAATTCATATTTAAAATTTTTGAGTTTATGCATTTGTATGTAAGTATCTATGTATACTTTAGCCTAAAACCCATCAAGATTTTAATTATATAATATCAAAATACCAGCTTAATAACATCATTATTGATAAATATAAACTATGTCTAAACAAAGATTATGAATAATACAGAATTAACAAAATGTAATAATTAAAATTAACAAATTTTCATTATCATTCCTTTTGTTTCTTGATCTTATATCACATTTATTCTTCATTCTATATTTAAAAGAAGAAATTTAATTTTCAAAATTTCTTCTGAATTATTTTATTTAATTTAAATTTTAAAAAATAATTCATAAGAAAAAATTTTTTAAATTGTTTCAATGATAATTTTATAAATAATTTCATTTTAAATAAGTTATGATGTTGATAATGAAAGTAAAAGCAGACAAGTTGTTTTCGGCATCAGCTTATATGGGCCAAACTCATAAGCTTGGGCCCACCTATTTGCCGGTCCTACATGAAAGCTCAGCCTAGATTGGTTGGAAAAGAAGAAATAAAAATTTATTAAGTTAAGCTTTCCACTGTTCATTCCACGTATATGGTCCAAACTATTTATGGTCATCCGTCAGAGTAAAGGAAGACAAATAAACAAATAATTTTCCAGAAAACGGATAATCTAGTAATTTCCGACCAGCATATGGAGTCCTACAAATTTGGGCACGATCAAGTCATGACAAATATCTGCCTATTTAGGTGCTTGCTTAGTTTCTCTTTCCTTGCTTTAATGGTTATCAAATATTTTGTCATGTAATATTTAAAAATTATTTAAATTCAAATTTTTGGAGGGGATAATGAGTGTTCTAATTTTCATGAAGATTGTTTTGAATTTTTGAAAAAAAATATATGTTGAAAATTTTTAAGCATTAATAAAATTCCATGACTCTAATTGAAATGCCTATTGAGTAGATTTAAATCATTAATCAAATCTAAATACATACTATGAATTCGTGGATGCCTTTTTACAAAAGCAATTTCTTTTGTTTTTTTTTTTTCCTAGCTAGAACCCCACTCCTAGTTTGGAGCGCGCGCGCACATATATATAATCGTCCCTAAATTTAGTTCAGTTCATATCATTTTAATAATCTAAAATAGTAGTTCTTAAATTTTAAAGAATAACTTAAGTCCTTATAAATTTAAAATAGTTTAAATTATAGAGACTTAACTGCATCAAATTTAAAGATTAGAAATTAAATTTTAACTTTGTTAAAATTATAAAAATTAAATTACACAAAATCATAATTTAAGGATTAAGTTTTGCCTAAATCAAAACTGTAGAATCTAAATGATTAATTTCTCTAAATACTAGGGCAAGTAAGATGTTTTTGATCAAAGTCAAGTGAGTGAATTAAAACAAACTGATAATTATTTATTTAAAAGAGAAAATCTTTTGAGATAAGATAACCTCTTAAATGGTGTTAAGATTCTTTAAGAGATTGGTCACATGACTGTGAGGATACCTTGAAAAAAAAAAAAATCACGTGAAGTATGCATGATTGATTGTTTTTCTCAAACTGGTGCAGAAAGCACGTTTGAAAGTGAAAGCTAAGGCAATAGATTGGCTAATAAAGAAGAACTCGAAATATTAAAAAAAGTTTGGGGTTCCGTGACAGTAAAGGCAGCATTAAAAAAAAAAAAGTAATTTCCCAAAAGCATGAATCATCCTATAAATTTGTGCACGATCAAGTCTTGATGAATATCCAGGTGAGAACTTTCCTGTAGTTGCTTGTTTCCTATTTATCAGCTTCAATGGCGAAACTAGGAAATGAAAAAGATCACTTGGAGAGTGAGTGTGTTGTTCTGCTTCTTCTTGTCTTTGGTGCTTGCCAGGGCCTCCACTAGCAATGAAGGATTCGCTAAAGAACTTGAGGTTGACAAGCTTTTGAAGAAGCTGAATAAACCAGCTGTTAAGTCTATTCAGGTATACAACTTAGCTTTGACGACATATGACTCACATTTTCATTCAAATGTTTCTACATAGAAGAAAACTTCAACACTATCAAACTTTCTTAACTTCTACTCTAGATCCGTACGTGTGTTTGGCTTTTAAAACTTAGTTTCTGTTTTAAATAACTAATTTCTTAAAAGTTTTTTCTTGTTTGTTTTTTTTTTAAATTATATTTGTAGAAGTTAGTTTGGGCCTTTACACTCCATGTTTGCAATGGTCGAACTGAAGAAAGAAGATGACCATTTATGTGAAAAATTGAAGATATTAAATCTTTTCTTATGCATTTGGCAGTTAATATTCTAGGCTATATGTACTTTGAGTACATACTTAGGATAAATTATTTGTGGGTTTTAATTATAATATACTATTATATTTGGGTTAAAATTTGGTATTATAAAATGCAGAGCCCTGATGGTGATGTAATCAACTGCGTGCACATTTTAAATCAACCAGTTTTTGATAATCCAAAACTAAAAAATCACAAAATTCAGGTAAAATAATTTATCATAATTTGTCTTTTTTTTGTTTTATTGGATTATCTAACAATATAATGCTAAGGCAAATTATGTCCTATTCCATGAAGATGAGGCCAACATTTCATCCAAAAAGAAGCAATTTTTCATCAAACCCAATTGCTCAAATGTGGCATCAAAGTGGAAGTTGTCCAGAAGGAACCGTTCCTATAAGAAGAACAACAAAAGACGACATACTGAAGGCAGATTCTTTTGAACAATTTAGTGTAAGAAGATCATTGTACTCTACAAATGACCACGAGGTACTACTATTTTCCTTATATATATAGAAGTGTTAATTATCAATATCTTAAAATATAAGGCTTGTAATTTGCTTCATATATTTTTTAAATGCTTGTTTGTGTGTTTTGAATATCGAACATATTTTTCTTTTTTCGTTGTTGCTTCTGGTGCCTCTAGTACGCCCCAGTTAATGTGTCAGGAGATAGATATTATGGAGCCAAGGCATCTATAAATATTTGGAAGCCACGTGTTCAACAATCCAATGAATTTAGTCTCTCTCAAATCTGGATTATGAATCAAGCTGTTCCTAATTATGTTGAGTCCATCGAAGCAGGTTGGCAGGTATTCTATAATCTGGATGAGTACATTTTCATACATTTTTTCAACGAACATTACTTTTTGTCTATCTAATTCCTTGATTTACTGTTTCTCTCGAAAATTAGATCTGTCCAGAAATATATGGGGATGACAACCTGTAATGCTCCGGATATATTATAATATTAATGGAGTAAAACTGACAAAACCAACGTTCACGGAGCGTATTACAATTCAGAAATTGATAAAGGCACTACAGCAGGAATAATGAGAAAATGACAGCAAAGGCATGCAGAAAAGTATAGCAGAAGCAAAACGTAGAGAAGGTTCAGCACAGAGAGAGAGAGATATTCCAATCATTTCACACCCCCTCACATAACCGTATTTGTCGTTATATAGCCTCTTCATCCAACTCGCGCAATTTCCACATTTTCTTCCTCGTGCGTTGGCTCCTTCTTCTAGCTTCCAATGTGGGTTGTAGAATTGGGTTATCCGTTGTGATAGTTGGGCTCCCACTTGGATCTATATCATTTGGGTTCATTACAATTCCCGCCTCGCTAAAATGGACCTTGTCCCCAAGGTCAAAGTGTGGATACAAGTGACTCATGGTGACAGCATCCTCCCAAGTATTTTTGGTGGACCCATTCCAACAAATCCAGACCTGGGAAACCTATTTTTCATTCTGTTGAACTAGCCATGTGTCTTCCACTGCCATAGGCTGCAACAGGGGACCCTCTGGAACTGTAGATAGGGGTAATGGCAAGTAAGACCCCTGAGGTTCTTCTCCGTGAAATTTCTTCAAAAGTGAAACGTGGAATACAGGGTGGATGCGTGCATGATCTGGAAGTAGAAGTTTGTATGCCACTGTCCCTATTCGCTCAACGATTGAAAATGGGCCAAAATATTGTAAGGCTAATTTCTGGTATTTCCTTAGTGCAATAGAGTGTTGACGATAAGGTTGAAGACGGACCAGAACCAAGTTGCCTACTTGGAAAGAAACTTCCGATCGACGTCTGTCTACAAATCGCTTCATTCGTGTTTGAGCCTTCAATAAATTTTGTTTGAGCACCACTGAAAGTTGATCACGTAACTCCAATTATTGATGGACTTCCTAAGGCGTATCTTCTTGTGAGGAGTGGCGAATCAATGGAGGTGGGTCTCTCTTATAAACCACCTTAAATGGGATCATGCCGATAGTAGTATGAAAGGCGGTGTTATACCAAAACTCTACCCAAGGAAGAACTTGTAGCCAGTGACGTGGGTATTCATGCATGAAGCACCGTAAATACATCTCAAGGCATTTGTTCAAAGCTTCTGATTGACCATCCGTTTGAGGGTGGTAGGTTGTACTCACACACAACTTTGTACCCTGTAACTTTATTAAGTGGCAGAAGAAGGCACTAGTAAAAGTCTTGTCCCTATCAGAAATAATCGTTTTTGGCATTCCATGTAGTTTAACCACATTTTGGAGGAAAGCTTCAGTAACAATGGGGCTGGAGAAGGTGCTTGGCAGTGGAATGAAATGGCCATATTTGGATAATCGGTCAATAACCACAAGAATAACGGAAAAACCCTTAACTAGTGGCAAGCCGGTGATAAAATCTATAGCTATATCTTCCCAAATGTGATTAGGAATAGGCAACAGATTCAATCCAGTAGGATGAAGCTAAGACAATTTTGCTTGTTGGCATATAGCACAATGTCGAACAAAGTTTCTTATATCTCGTCGTATATGAGCCCAGAAGAAAAGTCGAGCAATGCGATGAAAAGTACGGAGGAACCCTGCATGTCTACCTATTGTTGAAGAATGAAACTCATGTAAGATCTTATGAATCAAATCTGGCTGATCGTGAGGTATGACCAGGCGATTCCCCCAATATAAATCTTCTTGCCTTATCTGATATTTTGGCATAGACTGTGGGTCACTTAGCACTCTGTTTTTAAGATCAAAAATTAGAGAAGATTCTCACACCTTGTTATAGAATTCCTCAATGAATACATTTTCTATCTGTGTTAAAGCCATAATCATAGCCCATAAAAGAGCATCGGCAGCTTGATTGTGCTTCCCAGGTCGGTATTCAATATTAAATTGATACCCCAATAATTTTAGAAGACATGCCTCTTGTTCTGGGGTCTGAATCTTCTAATCTAACAAATGCTTTAGGCTAGCATGGTCTGTCCTGATTGTGAATTGGTTTCTAAACAAATAATGTCGAAATTTTGAAACTGCCTCAGTAATGGCATACAACTCTCAAGTGTATACAGATTTAGCCTGCATTATGGTTGAGAGTTTCTTTGAATAAAAATAAATCGGATGGTTGTCTTGGCTCAGAATTGCTCCAATTCCTACTCTGGACGCATCCGTTTCTAACACAAATGATTTAGTGAAATCCGGCAACGCTAGTATCGGTGCTTCAGTCACTGCCTTTTTTAGATTATCGAAAGCCTCTTAGGCCTCTGAAGTCCATATGAATTGATCTTTGGCCAAGAGTTTTGTAAGTTGGCCAGTAACTTGGGCATAATTTTTTATAAACCTTCGATAATACCCACTCAAGCTTAAGAATCCTTTAAGCTGTGTGACATTTGTTGGGCTCGACCATAATTGAATGACCTTCACCTTTGCATCATCTATCGCTACCCCTTGGGCTTAGACGACATGGCCTAAATATTCTATCTGGGACTGGCCGAAAGCACACTTAGTCATTTTGGCAAGTAATTGATGTCGTTCCAGTAGGCTCAAAATAATTTCCACATGCTGTAAATGGAGATCCCACGTGGCACTGAAGATTAGTATATCATAAAAAAAAATCAAGACAAACCATCGGAGAAATGGTCAAAAAACTGAGTTCATTAGCGATTGGAAAGTAGCCAGTGCATTTGTTAATCCGAAAGGTATCACCAACCATTCATAAAGCCCTTGATGTGTTCTGAATGCAGTTTTCTCTTTATCTATCTCTTTCATCAAGATCTGATGGTAGCCAGAACGGAGGTCGAGCTTCGAATAAAAAACAGAGCCATGAAGTTCATCTAAAAGCTCATCGACAGTCGGCATGGGAAACGAGTCTTTCACTGTGACTACATTTAACGCTCGATAATCAATGCAAAATCGCCACGTGCCGTCTTTCTTTTTCACAAGAATCACTGGTGCTGAAAAAGGGCTCGTGCTCTGTTGTATCAATCCATCTAAAAGCAATTCAGAGACCATTTTCTCTCTCTCTGTTTTCTGACTATACGGATATCTGTATGGTCTCACTCTGATAGGTCCTATCCCAGGTTGCAACTCAATCCTATGTTCACATTCTCGTCGGGGAGGCAAACCATGAGGTTGGGAAAATACAGAGCGATATCTCTGTAATAATACAGCCATGTTAGGTGCAATTTCTTCTAAAATTTTTAGCTCTTTTGGGTCTTCTTCCAGCTTCTCGATCATATAATACTCCACCACAGTATCAGTGTGTTGAATTCTCACCAAATGGTGAAATTGTACTTGAGCTATTGAGGAGCCTCGCACACCTTTAAGAGTCACAAATTTCCTGTTCTGAACAAATTTTATAGTAGAAGTACTGTAGTCCGCCACATGCGGACCCAATGTCTCAAGCCAATCTGCTCCTATCACTACATCAACACCAGCAACAGGTAAAACAAATAAAGTCAATAATAGGGTATAACCATTAATGATTACTAGTATATTTGTGACCATCTCTTTACTTTTCATTATTTGACCCGTTCCACCCAATATTCGAACTTCAGTTGTGTGCTCTACTGGAATTTTTAGATGATGAACTATTCTAGGATGTATGAAGTTATCGGAGCTTCCTCCATCAAGCAATACTGAACCTCTGAACCCATGATCATTCCAGTAAAACGGATTGTGGCTAAACCCTAGGTACCTTGAAGAGCATGGAGAGATAGATGATGGAGAGTAGCCTCGTGCTCCAGCTCAGCCGATGGATCCTTTGTTTTCTCTTCCTCTATCCCTGTTTCCTCATCACCTATCAGCATCATTAGTTGCTTGTTGGGGCATCGATAATTTGGAGCAAACTTCTCATCACAGGTATAACATAATCCCTTCTCTCGCTGTATCTATATCTTTGGAGTGGGTAATAATGGTGGTAAATTTACCTTGCCTCCTCCACTGGATAAAGAGGCTCCTGAAGCACCTATATTAGGCACAATAGCTCTACTGGAGGAAGAGCCACTGAAGGCACTATTATAGGTTCGGGGTTTGGTTCCTGTCACACCATAAATAACTGTTTCAAAGAATAATCTAGCAAGAGTCATAGCTTTCAATACCGTGTTGGGTTGTTGAACCAGAACGTCTCGTCTAATTTCCAACTTCAACCCCCCTATGTAGCAGTCAAGCAAAGCTTGCTCAGTGATCTCCGCCGGTTGGTTTGCCATTGACATAAACTTGTTATTATACTCCTCTAAGGAGCCTTGTTGTGTCAGCTTGAAGAGTTGAGCTCTTGCACAATTAAACTTGGATGGGCCGTATTGCTCTTCAATGGCGCAAGCTAACGCAGCCCAGTCATGCACCTTCTGAGCTTTCTCCATCATTTGGAACTAGGGTAAAATATCTCCATCTAGATGCACAGAGGCAAGAACCAAACGTTGTGGGTCTTTGATCTCATAGTATTTGAAATATTGTTCTGCTCGAAACAACCACTACAGTGCATCAGTGTCATCGAAGTGAGGGAAGTCTCTCTTCACCTGTCTGTTTTGTCCCCCATAGTACCTTATCGGCGAGTAACCTGTAGTATGTAAAGGTGAACCTCCAAATCCTTCAGGGCTAGGTTGTTTAAACCTTCAATTCAGATTATATATTAACTTCATTAGCTCATCCATGAGTCCTTCAAGTCGGTTGAATCTACCTTCAGCATGCTCAGCAAATTCATTGTTCTTTCTCACTTCAGCTTGAAGCTCTTTCAGTCTAGTATTTTTTGCCATTATCTCTCAATGAAAGCATCAAATCTATAATGCTCTGGATATATTATAATATTAATGGAGTAAAACTGACAAAACCAACATTAACGGAGCGTATTACAATTCAGAAATTGATAAAGGCACTACAGCAGGAATAATGAGAAAATGACAGCAAAGGCATGTAGAAAAGTATAGCAGAAGCAGAAACGTAGAGAAGGTTCAGCACAGAGAGAGAGAGAGAGAGAGAGAGAGATATTCCAATCATTTCACACCCCCTCACGTAACCGTATTTGTCATTATATAGCCTCTTCATCTAACTCGCGCAATTTCCACATTTTCTTCCTCGTGCGCTGGCTCCTTCTTCTAGCTTCCAATGTGGGCTGTAGAATTGGGTTATCCATTGTGATAGTTGGGCTCCCACTTGGATCTATATCATTTGGGTTCATTACAATTCCCGCCTCGCTAAAATGGACCTTGTCCCCAAGACTTTTTACTTCCTGGATAGTAAGTTCAAATTTCCTACAGACATATAATTTCTTATTTTCCTCAAACCATTAGTATTTGTGTTGTTAATTATCATTATATTATTTTTAATACATTCCTTTTTCATCTCACAGAGGGACTCATATCGAACTTTATGTTATAACCTTGATTGCCAGCCTGGCTTTGTTCAAGTTGATAACTCAATAGTAATGAGAAGCAGCCTACAACCATCTGTCTATGGTGGTTCTCAAAATGTATTATCCATCCTTATCAGGAAGGTGTTAACTCAGTTACAACTCATTCTTGCTCAAAGTTTAACTTGGTGCAAGATGAATTCATAGGCCGGTTTTGAGGAAAAAGCAAATTGAACCAAACTAATCGGTTGACCAAAGCTTGGGGTCTATTTGATTTTTTCTTCTAATCGGTCTGGTTTGGTTTAGTTTATGTTTGGATTAAATTTGGGTTTTTTGGATACTTTTCATAATCAATGTGTGTGTGTGTGTGAACATTTACTATTAATTTTAACTATTAATTAATATTTTCAATGAAAGAAATCTCTTGAAAACAAAATAATATTTTTTAACAATTATTTAGCACATTTAAATATTAAAAACTAATATGTTATCCTAAAAACACTTGATTGCAAAATTTAATTATCATAAAAAACTATAGACAATATTAAATTAATGGTAACATATTTTTGACTAGTTATTTGTAGATAACTACATTTTGGATTGAGAAAAAAATTAAGACAAATTTATAAAATATATAAAATAATTATAATAAAACTTGGTTTTGTTTAGTTCAAGAGATAAAAACTTGAATTAAACCAAACAAATCAGTTTTACCAAAATAAAAAAACAAAGCAGACTTTATTTATAATTAGTTTTGATTAGTTCATATCTATTTGGATTAGTTTTGAACATCCTTAGGTATGACTTAGGTCCTCAAGTTTTACCCATTTAATCCATTGGTCCCTACACTTTATAACTCAATTACAACTTAATCTCTTAAAAACTATATATTAATTTTTTCTCTCTCTTTCTTTTGCAAGAACACGTATTCCTTGAGAAATCCAAACAATTCAATCCACCAATTAATAAATTTCAAAGAATCCCTAATGGACCACGTCATATGATTCCACTATTTTGTAAAATATAGTCACACAATTATAATGATGATAATAATGATTGAGCAGGATCCAAAAACTGGAAACTGGTGGATGCAAGTTGGGAATACATCTGTAGGATACTGGCCAGCTTCTTTGTTCAATCGCATAAATACTGCTGGTGCAACCCATGTAGGGTGGGGCGGTGAAATAGTAAACCTGAGATCCAATGGGCAACACACCACAACAGGCATGGGAAGTGGCTACTTCCCTCAAGAAGGTTATGGCAAGGCTAGCTTTTTCAAGGAGCTTTCTATTGTTGATGCAAATAATAATCTTGTCTCTCCTAAATACCTTAACACTTACGTTTCCAATCCCTATTGCTACACTGTTTCCCCTTATCGCTCTTCTAATGATTGGGGTGTCTACTTCTTCTATGGCGGTCCTGGGAGAAACCAATATTGTCGTTAGCCCTTATAATATATGTTGGAAGAAAACAATATAAGGACTTTATTTAACAAGTCCCAAACTATCTATATCTATCAAGAAATAAAGGATATTTTATATAAGATAAGGCTTGTTACAACGAGCTAGTCTTAAAAAGATTGAAATATTATGTAGTGTGATGTTATGCATTGTTATATTGTATCGTATTTGTTATCCTGTGTTCGAATATATGTTACATGATATAATGTGTGATTAAGTTAAGAGACACTACAAAGTGGTATGTGTTAATATAAAAGCACTTGAATACAAAATTCATTAAAAGTAAAATATGAAATATATGTGCGAGAGCACTGCTAGAATATGAAATGTATAGAAGTCTAAATGGATATATATATATATATATATATATATATATTATTGTTTTCCTGATCAAAGAAAATAATTAATCCTTTTCCCTCGTGGTAACTAAGGTTGCCGAAGTGGATTTAGAGTAATATTTAGTTGTGACTGTATTAATAATGAAATGAAAAGCATCTCTTTAATCATCACTCATCTATATTTGAACTTGCTTTTAGATTTTTGCATAGCCTTGACTCTTTTTATTAAGGGTAATGGACTCATTTAAGCTTTTTTTTTTTTCAAAGTTGTTATAGAGTTTTAATAGGTTGAAACTAAGAAATAATAATATCCATATGGAGGTGTTTATTGTTTTAAAAATTAGACCGAACTGTCTGATTTAATAAATTGAATCAAGAACCAGCTCTTGTTTTGGTTCAGTTGACTCCTCAAAACTAGCCACAAAGGAACTGATTGATGACTAAAAAAACTAGTCAAACGCTAGCAAAATCAGTTGAAAACTGGACCAGTTTCCTTAAAAACTTGTCTAAATTAATTAAATTTTTTAAAAAAATTAATTTGTTCATATATATTTCTTATTTAATTATGATATATAAATTAAAAATATATTAATTTAATGTCAACTGGTTCAACCACAATTCGGCCACGGTTGAACTAATGAACCGTGAACCAGTTACTAGTCTGATTCAATAACCGGTCTAGTTTTTAAAACTTTGGAAGTGGTACTCAAAGCTTCAATTCTATTTCATCACGTGGGTCTCTTTTTTAATTAAGGACACTTGGTTAATCTTTTTAAATTATGATAGTAAGAAGAGCCATAAATAATGAGGACAATTTTCAATATCTCAAATACATTTGTTTAATCAATTATAAATACACGATATTGTTATTTTCCATTTATAACGTATGTTTATAAATAAAATGATATCAATACTATTATTCTGTGATTGAAAGATTTTGCTGAGGTTATTGGAGAGTTAGGTTATTCTTAATTTCTAGGCTTTCTTGGTTATTTAAATAAATTAATAATAATTTTAGGTGTGAATATTATAAACATTGAAATTAAAAGAATTTACTAAGGTTGTGTTTGGATGGGTGAATTTAAGTTAGAAATTTAATTTTGAAATATCATATTTGAAATTTGTATATTCTAAATTTTTTGTTTGAATGATATAAAAAATTTCAAATTATAATATTAAAATCCTTTGTTTGAATCTTAAGTAAAATTTCAAAATTCTATACTTGAATTTAAAACAGTTGTCCAATATTGATTGGCGCCAGCAATCCTGTCCTGGTCAGCGCTAGTGGTTCTATCCTAGTTGGCATCGGCGGTTCGATCATAGTGAAAGTTGGCTGTCTAGTCCTGATGAAAGTTGGCTATCTGGTCCTGGTTGTCACTTGCTCTCCAATCCCAATCGGCATTGGTGGTTCAATCTCGATTGAAGTCAGCCATCCAGTCTCAGTCATCACCTGCACTCCAGTCCCAATAGGCATCGGTGATTTAGTCTCAATTGAAGTCGATTATTTGGTCCCAATTGGTAGTGGTGGCATGGTCTTGGTCGCCTCCAACAATCTAGTCCTATTGACATCGTCGGCGATTCGATCCTAATAAAAGTCAGCCATCTAGTCCTAACTGGGGATAGCAGCTCGGTCTTGGTTGCCTCCAGCAATCTGGTCTTATTTGGCACCATTGAAGAGTCAGTTAAATTATAAAGAGATTGAAGTGGGATTTGAAATAAAAAAAGTTTAAAAAGAATTTTAAACTACAAAGAGATTGAGGTAGAACTTGAATTTAGAATTTGGTCAAATCCAAATTTATATATTTTTAATTGCCAAACAATATATTTGGTTCAAATCCAAATTTTTATACATCCAAATATAGCGTTCAGTTATTGAGACATGTTATTAAATCGCCAATTGAGCAACTTGTATGAAATTATATCGTTCCCTTGAGAGTTGGCAATTGTGATAAGTGGCGAAGCCACATGTATTTGAGGAGGGCATATCAAATGAGAAAAATTACTTACGTAATAATGGAGGTATAGGTATTTATATTTTGCACCCCTTCCTTTTTATGGTTTGCATTTTAAATCATTTCATATTATTTTTTAACTCAGATCCAAAATTAATTTTTTTTAACTCAAAAGCCCAATAAATTTTAGCCCACAATTTCAATATACCCAAATAGTAACATTATTTTATAAAAAATTAACATTTATTAAACCTTTAAGAAAATAAGAAAAAAAATAATCTCGCCTGTATTGTTTGAAATCTCAAAACAAATTTGTGGAAAAATTAATTAAAATTGGAAGACACATTATTTATCCATTAGTTTACCTTCTCTTGAAATTAACAATGATATTACCTATTGTCACAGCAATAATTGAAAGACCCTTTTCTGTTATAAAGTTTGTAAAAATTTGGTTGCACAATCAAATGGGGAATCCATGAATGAATGATTATCTCGTGACTTATATTGAAAAAGATATATTTGAAAGCATTAACAATGAACTGATTGTTTAACAATTTCAAAATATGAAACCACATAGAAAAAATTTATAAAGCACGTAATTATTAAATAATTTGTTATTTTTTAAAATTATGAATATGTAAATGATTTCGCCCCACTGATTGTGATAATCAGTGGTGAAGCCACATACAAGTGAGTGCAGGCACCCCCAATTGATGTAGAATTTTAAATTTTGCACCCTCTTCTTTTCATATTTTGCATCCCATCTTTTTAACGTTTTGAACATTAAATCCATTTTATTCTTTCTCTAAACTCAAAACAATTTTTTTTTAAATACTTTTTCACTCAAAGTCCAATGATATAATAAATCTATATAATTGATTTTTGAAAAAAAAAATTAAAAAAAGAAAATTGCCCCCTCTAACCCAAGGTCTGGCTCCAGCCGCCGGTATCCTATTCTTGCAGATTCCAAAGCCTATATGAATGTTGAGATATCTTCTAATTAAAGATGTCAACTTCAAATCCAAACTCTACCAGAGGCCTACCGGAAAACGAAATGCCAATCTCCCTAAAATAAAGGTTCAATCTCAAGCTACTGTCAAGTTTATTTTCAGATGGAATTTCTCTTGGTTATTGCTTATCAGGTCCTATATTATTTTTGCTTCATCCACATGAAATTACCATATTGCCCTTATAAAAAAAATCAGAGATCAGAAATCGCACGCTTGCAATAGCATTCATTTCCTCCTTTCTTCCTTCACCTTTAGCATTCAAAGAATCCAGAGCAAGAGAGACACTGAGAGAGCGTCGATCAGCAATCCCATTGTTCACTTCTTTGCCGTGCTCTTCATTGCCCATCTCGTCGCTGGTGACTGTGAAGTGTTTGACGCTGCCGTTGTACAGTCGTCTTTCCCTTTGCTGTTCTATCTCCTTCACTCTCGTTTGTGTTAGTGGTGTGTGGGGGAGTCAAATCACCCAAAAACTGGAGGTGCTCTCCCGAATCCTCATGTTTCTTGAAGCTTTTGTTAATATGAAAATTATCAAGGTGGTTATAATTTCAATATAAATATATTTACTTTTGGAAATGGAAAAATGTCTTAGTTTAAGGCTTATGGAATGTGTGACATAGTTCACATCACTTGCCAATCACTCTCTATTTTCGGGACATGATTGTTGCCTTTAGTAGTTTCTTTTGCAATTGGCTATCAACTATAGTCAAGGAAAACTGCTCTCAAGAATTGGAGTCTATCTTCCTAAGCTTGTCTTCACTCATGATCAATTATATGTTTTGCATTGTCAAGAGTTAAGAAGAAGGTCTAAAATTACTCATCCATGATGCAGAACAAAAACCCTAGAGTAGTACAATCAATATTGTTTACAGGAAGATTTTTCAGAATGTTAACCTGTAACAAAACTTGGAAATATTTCTTTTTTGAATATTGGTTACAATTGTGGACTAAATATAATAACTTCAATTATCATCCACATTTTTTTCAAAAGTTTTCAACATATCTTCAAGAAAAATTTCTTCGATTGGTTTCAATTATCTTCAGTTTGCTACAAGAGTTTTCATTAATCTTAAAAAATCTTCAAACAATTTTCTTAAAGATACGTTGAAGACTTTTGAAGAAATACGAAATATTTTTTTTAGGGATTCTTCTTAAATAAAACAAATTTTCATAATAGAACATCAAATTTTTAGGAAAATTTTGTTGAAGTATAGAAATAATTTAACAAACATTCAAATTCAAATAATTTTGAAGAGATGATTGGTGAGGGTCATGTTTTGTATTAAATTTGGATGACCCAGAACTTATCAGAGATGATAACGGTGAAGCACCCATGCTAGTCCGTTGAACAGTACTGCTGTGAGATTTCCACAAATGCTTTCTAATCTCGTATTTTGAAGCTGCAAATAATGCAAAACTCATTTTTTTTTTTTTAAATAAATATCTCTTTCGTGAAGTTTCGGAGTTTTAACAGACTGAGATGAGACAGTCACGTGGGGTGGTATCCTCTTCCTTGTCGGGGTAGAGTTTCATTTTCGGGTCGATGTTTTTTTATATCTTCTCAAATATTCCTCCGGTCTCATATATTAATTACCTTTTAAAAATATAATCTGATTCACTTCATAAGTTACTTGTTGATGAGATTGTTTTATTTTAAATTAAAATTTTTAAACTACTTTTAAAAAGTAAGAGAGAGAAAGACAGAAAAATAATATTATATTATTTGTTTATTTTTTATTTTTTACTTGAGGATTATATTTAAAATTTTACTTATTTTTATTCCTTATACTTTTATTATATTAATATTGATGAAATTAATAAAAATAACTTATAAATAAAATTGAAAAAAGTATTAAATTTTATGGCATTGAATGTGACTTGAGAAAATCTTTGCATTGAGTGGTCCCCACCAGCCCCACAATAACAGAAGACTAGCTCCCAATTCCCACAAGTCATCCTTCAATCATTATCCTTGGGGGTGAGTAAAATCAAAAACCAAATCAAATTAAATTAAGTTTGATCGAACCGAATTAAATTCAGTTCGGTTTGTTCGGTTTAAAAGTTTGGTTTGGTTTTTCTTAAAACAAATTTTGGTTTAAATGGTTTGGTTTGGTTAGAAAAGTAAGAAACCAAATAGACCGAATAAACTAAAATAATTAATATTTTTTTAAAAAAATAGATCTATAGTTTTTGTATTTTATAAAGATTATTTTTAGTTTTTTTTTAGTACTAAAAGTGGACCAGAATATTACACTCTGATCCACACATTAGGCCCACAGCATCTATCCTTGAAGGTTATTTTTAGTTTGATGAGAAAATAACATTAGATAAATAAAGATGAGAAAATAACACAACCTAGCCCAACCCATTTGGTAGCCCATGTAATATTCTCTTCATCTCACATTAACCCTAATTATTTATCATCTTCTTATCGCCGCACACCCTATCTCAGGCACTCCAAAGTCCAAACCCTTGCCTCACCTCCGTTCGTCTCATCTCAATTCACCTCTCCTTCTCCATCACAATTTCTGCATTTAGTCTCATCCCAGTACTTGGTTTGCCCCTCCTTCTCCATTGCGATTTCTGTTGTCTGATATCAGTTCTTCATGTCAACCAAGAGATACTCTGAAACGGTAACAAAATATTAGACTTCCCCACGCCTTATCTCGGTTCGTGTTGTTCTCGGTTGTTTCCTTCTCTGTTGGTTCATATTCTTCTCAGTTCTTCATCTTAGCCAATTTCAGTCTGTATTGTTCTTGGATGGTAGTTGTTCAATAACTGAAAAATCTAACCGAATTGAACCATTAAACTTCAATCAGTTTGATTTTCATTCGATTACTTCCAGTACTTCGGTTCGGTATGGTCAAAAATATTGGTGAAGTTTGGTTTCTCGAGTTTCTCAGATTAGAACCGAACCGAACCATAAAAATTGATGCTCACTCTTGATTTTCCTCACACTGTTTCCACAATTGACTATTACTCTTTCAGTAGCTGGACACCTTTAAACATAATTTTTAATTCAAAATGTAGGATAGTTTGTAATAATTAAATCACTATTTTTCAATTTTACCCTTTCTTTATTAGTGTGAAGGTATTTAATATAATTATCATGATTTAAAATCAAGAATAAAAATGAAAGCACATATCATTTTTTATATAATATAAAATAGCTAATTTTTCTTTTTTAAGATACGTGAACGATTAAAAATGTTCCACTAAGGACAGGGGGGAATACATCAGTATATGCTCGTTTTCTTTTGTTTTTTGTTTTTTTTTTCTTTTTGTTTGTCCTGTCAAACACGGAACGCTCTTGTGCTTTACTTGAATTATTGTTTGGGTCAATTTTTCATTTGAGGTCCTAGACATCTCTCTGCGCTCACTTTGGGCAATTATTTTTTTTTTTTAAAAAAAAAGGGGTTTGTTTTATACAAAAGAACCAAAACAAACTCCACAAAAGTGGATTTTTTTTTCTTTTAAGAAAAGCAGTTGTTTTGCAAAAGCAATTCCACGTATTAACATTTAATAGCAAACAATGAGATCACCAGAACTCACTCCTATTGTTGGGGGATAAGGCACGCATATATATCATATATGTGGTGGTTTGAACTCACTGGACTGATCTTTGTATGATCATCTTCGAAAGGAGCATATAGATAAGCAAGCAATTGTAAATACTTATGATTATCACAAAATAATTGAAAACAAATGAAAAAGAAAAATGCAAGTCCATGAAAGCAAGCACATCAATTACTAAGTTTTCATATTGACTGAGTCCATTCACATTTAGACAATCTAGCTATAAGATAACAAAATTATATGTGTCAAATCAAAACAAAAAACAAAATTTTATGTGACTGTGTGTGAATCACACCGTTTGTAAGTCTGCAACTAATTGACGTACCTGAAAAGAAGGGTAATATCAGCGTGTCCCGTAATGCCAGTGAACGACATTGAGCTCCATTGAGTCGATGACATCATCGATCATCTATCATCTCAGTTTACCAATGATCAATACAATTCTCTTGTCTTTCTCAACCTCGACAAACTTTCCCAGCTCTTTTCTTTTCATTTACTTAAGTAAATTATTTATTTATTTTTTCTTCAGTACATTTTTCTGAGATTCTATACTATCTAATTAGATTTGAATGTTGTTGAGTATAATTGAGATAACCTTAATCTTTTTTTTTAATTGAATAAATTTATGACTTAATTTCAGAGCTCATTATGACCTGGCCAAGCCTTAAGTTTAAACTTAATCTAAATGGGAATCGAGTTTCTTCCACTTTACTTACCATCATTCATAAGTCAATGGTTTTTTTTTATTATATATATATATATATATATGATTTTTTGTTAAATATATGTGATTTTTTATTAAATAATATATTTTATTACTTTTTTGTGATGGAAGAATTTGATACTGAAGGTAGAGAGAATTGTGTTTAAATTTAATTTTATATTATAGAAAATTAACTATTTAGTCCGTATAGCTTTTATGTAGTTGTAATTCAATTCTTAAATTTTAAATCAATGCAACTCAATTCCTACACCACAACTTGAATTAGGTTGAAACTTATTTTTTTAATTTTTCACTCACCACAACTCAATTCATGTAGTTTCAACAATTTAAAATATTAGTTCTTAAGTTTCAAGGAATAACTTTAATGCTTATAATTTTATTGTCTAATATAATGACCAATATTTTAACTTGTTAAGATTTTATAAATTATAGGAATTGAATTGCATCCAATTAAAGTTCATGAATTGAATTTTAATTGAGTTAAAATTTTTGAAACTAAGTTGCATCAATTCATAGTTTAAGGACCAAGTTTTAGCTGAATTAAAAATATAAGGTCCAAATGAACAATTTCTTCTCAATTATATCAGGGGAATTAAGATGCTTTTTCAGAAACAGTCAAAGTCAGTTAATTTAAACTAAGTGACAATAATTTAAAATAGTGGTATGTTGAATTGCTTTTCTCAAACGCGTGCAGAAGACAAGTCCAAATAGTAAATTTGGCTTTTCCACAGTTGATTCCACCTATGGTCCAAAATATTGATGGTGATCCGTGACGGCAAAGGCAGACAACTAAACAAGTAATTTCAGTGAAAAAAAAGGACAATCAAGTAATTTCCGAAAAGCATGAATCATCCTATAAATTTGTGCATGATCAAGTCTTGGAGAATATTCACATGAGAACTTTCATTCAAGTGCTTGTTTCCTTTGTCTCAGCTCTTCAATGGCGAAACTAGGAAATGAAAAGATCAGTTGGATAGTGAGTGTGGTGTCCTGCTTCTTCTTGTCTTTGGTGCTTGCCATGGCCACCACTAGCAATGAAGGATCTGGCAAGGAACTTGAGGTTGAGAAGCTTTTGAAGAAGTTGAATAAACCAGCTGTTAAGTCTATTAAGGTATACAATTTAACTTCTTCGACTAGTTTTCATTATGACTGACATTTTAATTCAAATGTTTCTACATAAAAGAAAACTTCAACACTATTCAACCTTTTTTTAACTATTAGTTGTCAATCTTCTTAGTTCAGTTGTCATTGAACCCTATAGTAATTAATTTTTTTATGTGAGACTTTAATGTATTTCTCCCTAACTTTGACTCTATGTCTGTGTGTTTTGGCTTCTAAAACTTGATTAGTTTCTGTTTTAAATATATAATTTCTTAAAAGTATTTTTTTCTTTTTTTTTCCTTTCAAAACTATATTTGTAGAACGTTAGTTTGGGCCTTTTCTATCCATGCTTGCATTGTTCGAGGTGAAGAAAGGTGTCCTTTTATATGAAAAATTAAAGACATGAAATCTTTTCTCATGCATTTGGCAGTTAATTATGTTCTAGAATATATGTGATAGAAAGATATAATCAAGCAATATGTTATTATTTTTGGGTTTTAATTATAATTTACTATTATATTTGGGTTAACATTTGGTATCATAAAATGTAGAGCCCTGATGGTGACATAATTGATTGCGTGCATATTTTAAATCAACCAGTTTTTGATAATCCAAAACTGAAGAATCACAAAATTCAGGTAAAATAATTTATTTTAACTTGTCATTTTTTTATTGGATTTTCTAACTCACAATTCTGAGGCCAATTATATATATATATATATATATATATTATTCCATGCAGTTGAGGCCAACATTCTATCCAAAAAGAAGCAATGTTTCAAAATCAAACCCAATTGCTCAAATGTGGCACCAAAGTGGAAGTTGTCCAAAAGGAACCGTTCCTATAAGAAGAACGACAAAAGAGGACATATTGAGGGCAGATTCTATCAAAGAATTTAGTATAAGAAGATCATTATACTCCACGGAAGGCCACGAGGTACTACTATTTTCCTTATATATATATATATATTTTTTTTCATTTTTGTTGTTAAAAATTGCCTGTTTTTGTGTTTTGCATATTGAATATATTTTTCTTGTTTCGTTGTTTGTTCGGAGCCTCTAGTATGCCGTAGCTGATTTGAGGGGAGATAGATATTATGGAGCCCATGCATCTATAAACATTTGGAAGCCCTCTGTTCAAGAATCCAATGAATTTAGTCTCTCTCAAATTTGGATTTTGAATCGTGATGATCCTAATAATGTTGAGAGCATCGAAGCTGGTTGGCAGGTATTCTATAATTTCTGTCGAGTTACATGTACAAACGCCTGATGGATGAGTACACTTTCATACGTTTTTTCAATAAATACAACTTTTTTCTATCTAATTCCTTGATTTATTGCTTCTGGAAAATTAGATCTCTCAACAAATATATGGGGATTACAACCCTAGACTTTTTGTCTTCTGGACTGTAAGTTCAAATTTCTTACCAACCTATAATTTCTTGTTTCCTAAAACCATTTGTATTTGTGTTGTTAATTAATTACTGTTATACTATTTTTAATACATTCATTTTTTGTCCCACAGAGGGACTCATATCGCAATATAAGGTGTTACAACTTGAATTGCCAGCCTGGCTTTGTTCAAGTTGATAACAAAGTAGCGGTGCGAAGCAGCCTACAACCATCTAAATATGGTGGTTCTCAAAATGTATTATCGATGCTTATCAGGAAGGTATTAACTAGGTTACAACTCATTTTTGCTTAAAGTTTAACTCGGCGTGATGAAGGGTGTTTATAGGTTCATTTTGGTTCAGTTTTGAGAAAAAACCAAACCAAACCATTTGGTTCACCAAAACATGGGACCTACTCGATTTCTTTCCCAATCAGCTTTGTTTGATTTAGTTTAGGTTTGGAACAAGTTTAAATTTTTTATATGATATTTTTCATAATTAATGTGTGTGTGTATATATATATATGAATATTTACTATTAATTTTTAACAATTAATTAGTATTTGCAATGAAAAAGATCTTTCGAGAACAAAAGAATATTTTTTAACAATTATTTATTTCATTTAAATATTAAAAACTAATATGTTCTTAAAAAACTTGACTATAAAATTAAAAATTTATCATAAAAAACTATAGTCAATATTAAACTAATTGTAATATATGTTTATTAGTGATTTATTGATAGCAAGATTTTGGAAAGAGAAACGATTTTAGACAAATTTATGAAAATATATAAAATAATTATAATCGAATTGGTTTGATTTGGTTCAAGATACAAAAACCTCAACTGAAACAAGCCAATCAATTTTGGCAAATAAAAAACCAAACTAGACCTCTTTCATAATCAGTTTCAATCCATTTATATTGGTTTGGTTCGACTTAGTTTACAACTTACCTCCTAGAAAACTAGATATATTAATTGTACCTTTCGTTCTTTATTTTGCAAGAACATATATTCCTTGAGAAATCCAAACAATTCAAATAAACTATAATAAACATCAAAGAACCCCTAATGGCTCAATGCCATATGATTCCGCTATTTGGTAATAATAATAATTATTATTTTATTATTATAATGATTGATCAGGATCCAAGTTCTGGAAACTGGTGGATGCAAGTTGGGAATACATATGTAGGATACTGGCCAGGTTCTTTATTCAGTCGCATGTCTACGGGTGCATCAAATGTACAGTGGGGTGGTGAAATAGTAAACTTGAGATCTAATGGGCAACACACCACAACAGACATGGGAAGTGGCTATTTCCCCCAAGAAGGTTATGGCAAGGCGAGCTTTTTCAAGGAGCTTTCTATCGTTGATGCAAATAATAATCTTGTCTCTCCTAAAAACTTTGGCCTTATCGTTACCAATCGCAATTGCTACGATATCACCTCTTATGCCTATTCGAATGATTTGGGTGTCTACTTCTACTATGGCGGTCCTGGGAGAAATCCAAATTGTCCTTAGCCCTTATTATGCAATCTTGGTGGGTGGCAAGTATATGTTGGAATAAAACAATATGAGGACTTCATTTAAAAAGTCCGAAACTATCTATTTATATCAAGGCAATTAATAAGGGATATTGTATAAGATAAGGCTTGTTACAACAAGTCTTAATAAGATTGAAATATTATGTAGTGTGATATTATGCAATGTTATGTTGTATCATATTTGGTTATCCTATGTGTGATCACGTTATTATAACATAAAAGAAGTCCCACATTTAAAAATTTAAAGATAGATCATAAATATATAAGCTTAGAAAATATCTAACTAAATAACTTAAACTATTTTAGTGGAGTATACTATTCTTAAGCATACTTAATATAAAAAATTTAATACACGTAACATGATATAACAGTGGAAAACGTGCATAAAATGCATACTCCATATGTATAATATGTTTAAGCGAAGAGACACTAGAAAGTGGTATATGTTAATATAAAGGGATTTGAATAGAAAATTTATGGAAAGTAAAATATGAAATGTAAGTGCGACAGCACTGTTAGAATATGAAATGTATAGAAGTCTAAATGGATTAATAGATACTACTTAAATATATTGTTTTCCTTATATCAAAGCAAAGAAATCCTTTTCCTTCAAGATAACTAAGGTTGCCGAAGTGGATTCAGAGTAATATTTAGTTGTGACTTTATTAATAATGAAATGAAAAATCTCTTTAATCATCACTCATCTATATTTGAACTTACTTTTAGATTTTTTAAAAATATAATATTTTTGTATTTAAATTAACTTTTGTTTATTCAAATATTTATACATCACTACTGTGAGAGAACTTTTATAAGAGTTCTTGTTTACTACGAGAACGTTTTGATAACATCCAGAAGCTAAGGTTATCAAAATGCTCTCATAAGTTAAAAAGAAGCGTTCCTGTAAATTTTTTTAGCAGTGATTTGACTACTTTTGTTAAGGATAATGGACTCATTTGGAATCCCCCCCCCCCAAAAAAAAAGTTGTTGCAGAGTTTTGATAGCTTAGAAGTAAGAAATAATAATCTCCATATGGAGGTGGGACTCAAAGCTTCAATTCTATTCATTACATGGGTCTCTCATGTAATGGCACTTGGTTAATCTTTTGAAATTATGATAAAAAGAAGAGCATGCCATAAAGAATGAGGAGAATTTTCAATTTCACAAATACATCTGTTTAATCAATTATAAAAATACTTGATATTATTATTTTCCATTTATGACATATGTTTATAAATAAAGTGATATCAATACTATTATTCTGTGATTAAGGCATAGATTTTATTGGAAAGTTAGGTTATTCTTAATTTATAAGGCTTCCTTGGTTATTTAATTAAATTAATAATACTTTTAGGTTCGCATATTTGAAAAATTGAAATTAAAAGATTTTACTAAGGTTATTTTTTTAGCCGACTAAGAAATTCCAATAATGCAGTATAAAAGTAAAGCAACCAACAAAGAAAACCAAACGGTGGAAAACAGAAACAGCAATAAAGAAAAATCAGAGTCTCAGACACCATTATCCGAAATTCCAGAAGAACAAGCACAACTCGAAGAATTGTTTAAATATTCCAAATTTTAAAATAGGATTAATGAAAATTAATCAAAGAGTTAAGTTAATTGATCATGATACTAATTGGATAAATTAGGGTAATTACATAACCCTTGGGTCCATTGGACCCTATATGGGAGTAAAAATTGGACCATAAATGTTATTGAGTCACTTTGGGCCCAATTTAATAGGCTTAAGTGAAGGCTTCCATTTTTTGTCGTCTGTCGTGGCAAATGGAACAATTCCCTGTGATGGATGCATCAGAGTTTTTAATTTAGAGAAACACAAATTTCAGTCAGAACTAAAAAGGAATTTGAGAGAGTAAGGGTAAGAATGAAGGGTGCTCTTCTAAGGTTTGCTATAGGTGCCCTTTGGAGGCAAGTTTGGGTTTCCAAATCATTAGGTAAGCTTCTTCTTTTCTCCTTTATTTTCTATGCATTTTCTTCAAGTTTTTGGGGCTGTGGTAGTGTTGTCCGAATTTCCAGCAAGTTCCCACCTGCTTTAACAACACTAATGTAGCCTAAGGGTGTCGTTTTACGCTCATACTCATCGGTTTATGTTAATGACAATTGTTATAATTACTAACGGTAGCCACAAACTGTAGCCACAAATGGTGATTTGCACCAATTACGGTGACAGTATAATCTAAGAACTATAGCCGTAATTACCAATTATGGCAGCAATTGAAGCTAAGAACTGTCACCCTTTCATCATTTCCACTACAGTTCCACTCCCCACTATGGTGAAAATTCTTGTATTACTACTACACTCATTTCTATTGCACTTCGTCTTGTGTCAAGAAAATTGTTTTTTGCACTAGTGTAACAAACTTTGACTATTTCTAAAAATGCATCTTAATTCCTCTAATATAATTAAGGAGAAATTAATCATTTTGACCTTATAATTTTAATTAAGCTAAAACTTAGGCCTTAAACTATGATTTGATGCAACCTAGTTTCTGTAATTTTGGCTTGATTAATCAATTTAAACTTTAACTTAAATGCAATTTAGTTTCTATAATTTATAAAATTTTGACTATATTAGTTCCTATATTTTAAAAAATAAAATTATAAGAACTAAAGTTATTCCTTAAAACTTAGGAACTAATATTTTAAATTGCTAAAACTATATGAATTGAGTTGTGTTGAGTAAAAATCAAAAAGAAAAAAGAGTTTCAACCTAATTAAAGTTGTAGAAATAGAGTTGTACTGATTTAAAATTTTAATAGTTAAGTTGCAACTAAATTAAAATTATAAGAATTCAATTAAAATTTAAATGTAGTTCTTCCCACTTTTGATATCAAGTTCTTCCATCGCAATAAAAATAAAATGTATAATTTAATACAAAATATTTAATAAAAAACCATGCATACATACATATACATACATACATATACATACATACATACATACATATATATATATATATATATAATGACAAAAAATAACTTACTTATGAATGATGGTAAAATGAAGTGGAAAAAACTTGATTCCCATTTAAATTAAGTTTAAACTTAAGGCTTGGCCAGGTCAGAATGAGCTCTGATGTCAAGTCACCAATTTTTTCTATTAAAAAAAAAGATTAAGGTTATCCCAATTATACTCAACAACATTCAAATCTAATTAGATATATAATATAGAATCTCATATAAATGTAGTGATTTAAAAAAAAAAAGAAATAATTTACTTAAGAAAATGAAACGAAAAGAGCTAGGAAAGTCTGTTGAGGTTGAGAGAGACATGAGAAAATTGTATTGGTCAAGGTAAACTGAGATGATAGATGATCGGTGATTCATTGAATTTGAAGGTCATCGACTCATTGCAGCTCAATATAAAGTCCTTGATTGACATCATACGACACGCTGCTACTGCCCTTCTTTCACGTAGTTGCAGACTTACAAACGGTTTGATTCACACACAGTACTTAATAGTTTTGTTAACTAGATTGGTTAAATGCGAATGGACTTAGTCAATATGAAAACTTAATGGTTGACGTGCTTGCGTTCATGGACTTGTATTTTTTTTTCCCATTTGTTTTCAATAATTTTGTGATATTCATGAGTATTTACAATTGCTTGCTCCTCCATGTGCTCCTTTCGAAGATGAATATAGAACAATCCAGTGGGTTCAACCACCACATACATGATATATGCGTGCCTTTCCCCAATTATAGGAGTGACTTCTAAAATTTGCTTCAGGTTGTTTCTAAAGTACTAGAACAGTGAAGTTGGATCGCTCTAAACTGTTTTTTCTTAATCCACTTTATGAAGTTTGTTTTGGTTCTTTTTCATAAAAAGAAGGGAGGATGGCAAGCAAGGATCTCATAAGAAGATTAATACCAAATTAATATTTTTTTTATGAAATTAGTATTGAAAAATGGAACAAGGAATACTGAATTTGAAAACTTGGCTGTCAAGCAATCCTAATTTGACATTAATTTTCTTACAAGTCTTTATTTATCATTTTTTTCCAAAGAAAACGACCCCAAAGAAAGAATATTGTTGTATAAGTCAATTGTGAAAACCGTGTGAGGAAAATGACTGGGATTAATGAAGTGGACTGTTTAAGGATGACTTCTGATATTTGAAGCTTGTCTTCTATTAATTGGTGTTTGGGTCAATTTTTAATTTGTCGTCCAAGACATCTCTCTCGACTCACTTCGGGCAATTATTAAAGAAAAAACTTAATACGTAGATCCTTCTAACTTTTAAAATTTTAAATTAAGTCCTCATAGTTTGTTTAATAAAATGTCGTTATAATTTATTTTGTTTTAATTAAATTCTTATCATTTAATTGATTATATATACTAATCCCCTGGAGGTTAAAATAATTAATGAATGACTTTCTTTTCCAAAAAAAAGTTTTAAAATTAAAAAAAAAAGAAAATTGATTTAATATAATTTTTACATTTTATTTAATTTTTTATGAAAATTTAATATGTATAAAAATTATTGAGAAGGCATAGCCTAATTATTTAAATTTTGAGTTATAAAGCTTATGTAATTAATTTTAAGTTATATAGTCTTTTAATAAATGAAAAAGTTCTTAATTTTTTTTTTTAAAAGAAAAAATTCAAGAATTTTAACCTTAAGATAATAACATATTTAATCAGTTCAGTTTTAAGGGTTTGATTAAAACAAAATAACTACAAAGACTTAATTCAAAATTAAGAAAACTTATAAAAGCCTGCAGATTAATTTTTCTATCATTATAAAAGGGGTTTGTCTTATAAAAAAGAACCAAAAAAACTTCATAATCTTTTAATAAAAATATAAAATAGAGAATGGGTTGCATCGAATCATAGTTTAGTGACTAAATTTTAACTGAATAAGCACTATAATGTGTAAATGATTAATTTTTCGTTAGATAGGGGGAATAAGATCACGAATTGTTTTCTCAAACGCGTGCAGGAAACAAGTCTTGCGGTGAAAGCTAATTACAATTACAATTGGGAAACTCACTCCGAAGTTGCTTCTAAAATTCGTGAGATATTTTCATAACCAACAAATTGATAAACTAAAATCCATATATATTCGTACAGGAACATCTAGTATCTTTTTCTTTTTTCTTTTTATGCAATATTTCCTTCCAAAATTAAAAACAATGAAATGTTGCCCTTATCAATAACAAATACTTCTTTCGTCCCGAATTATAAGATACTTTTGAAGGAGTTTTTATGTTTCAAAATATAAGACATTTGGAGTTATTACCACCACTTGCCTTGACTAATCAAGACCCCCACTATGTGGAATTGTTATCATTAACAACAACCTCAAGGGTGTCTCAGGAATGCTTTTGATATTTTTATTTAATGCGATTGCATTTTCTTGGACTTGAACTCGAAACCTTGGGATAAGCTAATTATACTCCCTCGATTAGTCGAACCAAGCTTCCCTTGATAGAAACATGTTTTTGTCAGATCACAATTATTGGCAAAAATCCTAGTAAGTAATTAAAAAATATGTGTTTGTTTTGGTGCAATGCCCCTTACGAGACAGATGTTATTTTGTCCTCATCTTAAAACAATTACTGGCTGCCATTGAAGACCTCCGAGCTCGGAACCCAGAACTACGCGATTAATTACATAGTCACTGAGTCACTCAGGAGACGATTAAGTTTTGTAGAAAGAAATAAATAAGTCTGATATATAGATTAATTTCGGTTGGGATGAATAATACTCCCTTCATTTGCATAGAGAGAAAGATTTTTCTAATCCTATTTATACGGGATATCATTAATTTTTTATCATAATTTTTTTTCTTTTTTCTCATATATTGGTAAGAGAAAATATTAATACTTATACTTTTTGGTTGTCAATACAGATGCCTTTTGGAATAAAAATATCTTAAAAATTCTCATTAAAAAATCTCTTGAAAAGGATAATTAAGTAATTTCCACAAAGCATAAATCATCCTATAAATTTGCGCACCATCAAGTCATGATGAATATTTTTGCGACTTGAGAATTTTCGTGTAGGTGCTTGCTCCCTATTTCTCAGCTTCAATGGCGAAACTAGGAAATGAAAAGACGAGGATAGTTTGTGTGGTGTTCTGCTTCTTCTTGACTTTCGTGTTTGCCAGGGCCACCAGTAACCATGGTAGATTCGATGAGGAACTTGAGGTTGAGAAGCTTTTGGAGAAGTTGAACAAACCAGCTGTTAAGTCAATTAAGGTATACAATTTAGCTTCTTCGACTAGTTTTGATTTCACTGACATTTTACTTCAAATGTTTCTGCATAAAAGAAAGCTTCAATACTGTTCAACCTTTTTAACCTTCACACTCTGTGTTTGGACACCAGTTTCTAAAATTACACCAGTTCTAAACTTACAGTTTCTGTTTAAAAAACTTAATTTCAGGAAAGTTGTTTTTTGTCTTTTTTCAGGAACTAGATTTGTAGAAAGTTAGTTTAGGCCTTTTCTATATCCATGTTGCAAATTTCGGGTTAAAGAAAGAAGATGACCTTTTATGTGAAAACTTAAAGGTATACAATCTTTTAATGTGCATTTCACAGTACTTAATTAAAAAGAAAGGATAAACATAACTTTTAGTCCTTGTACTTTACTCACATTTTTCTTTTAGTTCCTATACTTTTTTTTCAGTGTTTTAGGTCCCTACACTTTTATTTTTCATTATTTTTGATTCCTCTAGGAGCAAAGTATAGAAACTTTGGAAGAATTCAAAATAATAAAAAATAAAAGTGTAGGGACCTAAAATACCTCAAAAAAAAGTATAGAAACAAAAAATAAAATGCGAGTAAAGTACAAGGACTAAAAGTTATATTTACCCAAAAAGAAATTATTTCTGAGTTTCATAATTCACTATTATATTTGGTTAACATTTGGTATTATGAAAAGCAGAGTCCTGATGGTGACATGATTGACTGTGTGAATATTTTAAATCAGCCAGCTTTTGATAATCCAAAACTGAAAAATCACAAAGTTCAGGTAAAATCATTTATATATCTTAGTTTGTCTTTTTTTTTAAATTGAATTTTCTAATTAACTCACAATTGTGATGTAAATTGTATCCTATTGCATGAAGATGAGGCCAACATTCCATTCCAGAAAAAGCAATATTTCAAACCGAATTGCTCAATTGTGGCACCAAAGTGGAAGTTGTCCAAAAGGGACCGTTCCTATTAGAAGAACAACAAAAGAGGATATATTGAGGGCAGATTCTATCCAACAATTTTGGAAGAAAATCAATCAGAGCATCCCTGATCTGTTTGGATCATCATCACCTATATCTGGCCATGAGGTACTAATTATTTTCATATATATATATATATATATGCTCTTAGTATTTCAGGGGAATTATTCTCTATTGTCGGCAGAGCCTACTCTTCATACTTGCCAAAAAAATTCTTTAAATATAAAACTAAATATTTTTCTTGGTTCTGGTGCCTCAAGTACGCCATAGCTGACTTGAGGGGAGACAGGTATTATGGAGCCCAGGCATCTATAAACATTTGGAAACCCCATGTTCAAGAATCCAATGAATTTAGTCTCTCTCAAATTTGGATTGTGAATCGTGATGATCCTAATAATAATGTTGAGACCATTGAAGCTGGTTGGCAGGTATTCTATAATTTCTTTCAAATAACATTTACGCATGATGGATGATATATCTGTATACATTTATTTTTTAACAAATACTACTTTTTGCCCATCTAATTCCCTGATTTACTGTTCCCTGATCTGGAAAATTAGATCTATCCAGGAATATATGGGGATGACAACCCTAGACTTTTTACATACTGGACAGTAAGTTCAAATTTCTTACCAACCTACAATTTCTTGTTTCCTCAAACCATTGTATTTTTGTTGTTAATCATTGTTATATTACTTTTAATACATACCTTTGTCATGCCACAGAGTGACTCATATCGCAGTACTGGATGTTATAACCTTCGTTGCTCTGGCTTTGTTCAAGTTGATAACACAATAGCGGTGGAAAGTAGCCTACAAACACTATCTGTCTATGGTGGCTCTCAATATGAATTATCCATCCTTATCAGGAAGGTACTTTTTATTTTATGAAAAAAATTAGTTATTTAGTTCTTACAGTTTTGCCTAGGGTACAACTCAGTTTTGCTTAAGGTTTCTAAGTCGGCGTGACTCAGGTCCTAAAGTTTTAACCATTTAGTCCATTAGTCCCTAAACGTTATAACTCAAATACAACTTAACCCCAAAAAAAACTAGATATTAAATTCTTTCTTTCTTTCTTTCTTTCTTTCTTTTGTAGGATCAAGGAACTGGAAACTGGTGGATGCAAGTTGGGAATAGTAAAAATATAGGATACTGGCCAGCTTCTTTGTTCAATCGCCTGTCTGAGAGTGCATCAAATGTGCAGTGGGGCGGTGAAATAGTAAACAGAAAATCTAATGGGCAACACACCACAACAGAAATGGGAAGTGGGCATTTTTCTGAAGAAGGTTTTGGGAAGGCTAGCTATTTCAAGGAGCTTTCTATTGTTGATGCAAATAATAATCTTGTATCTCCTAAAAGCTTTAACCCTTACATTTCCAATCCCACTTGCTACACTGCTACCCCTTATGGCTATTCTGATGATTCGGGGTGTCTACTTCTACTATGGCGGTCCTGGAAGAAACCAAAATTGTCCTTAGCCCTTATAATGTAATCTTGGCGGGTGGCAAATATATGTTGGAATTAAAAAATATGGAGACTTTATTTAAAATGTCACAACTATCTATTTATATCAAGGAAACTAAAGGAACTGTGGCATGGGTAGAATTCCCTGGCCTGGTGGAATATTGTATAAGATAAGGTTTGATAAAACAAGTCTATCTTGATCGATAAGATTGAAATATTTTGTTGTGTGGTATTATGCAATGTTATTTATATCGTATTTGTTATCCTCTATGTTTGATTATGTTATAAAATATAACAGTGGAAAACATATTTCTTTTGACAAACATTATTTGCTTTAATTAAATGTTAAATAAAATGCAGAAGCTCTATATATATAATGTGATTAAGTGAAGAGACACTGGAAAGTGGTACATATTAATATAAAGTTACTTGGATACAAATTTTATGAAAAGTAAAATATGAAATGTATAGAAGTCTAAATGGATTAATGTATAGTAATTAAATATATTGTTTTCCTTATCAAAGAAAAGAAATCCTTTTTCCTTCAAGGTTACTAATAACGTTGCCCGAAGTGGATTTAGAGTAATATTTAGTTGTGATTGTATATATTAAGTGAAAGATATCTCTTTGATCATCGCTCATACATCTATTTGTGAACTTACTTTTAGATTTTCAAAAAAGAGAATATTTTTTGTATTTAAATTAACTCTTGTTTTATTCAAATATTTATACATCACTTATATGGGAGGAGCACTTTTATGTATAAGAGTTCTTGTAGAATTATCTATGAGAACGTTTTGAAAGCATTTTGATAACATCCAGAAGGCTATAAAAATGTTCTCATAGGGTAAAAAGAAGCGTTCCCGTAAATGTTTTCTATAGCATGATTTGACACCTTTTATTAAGGGTAATGGACTCATTTAGACTTTTTCCACTAAAGTTGTTGTGGAGTTTTAATAGATTAGAAGTAAGAAATAATAATCTCCATATAGAGATGAGACTCAAAGCTTCAATTCTATTTCATCACGTGGGTCTCTCATGTAAGGGCACTTGGTTAATCTTTTTAAATTATGATAATAAGAAGAGCATGCCATATAGATGATCATGATCTCTTGATCATGTCCGATGACATTCCACATATTCTTCATCTGCGATTGAGTTTTATATATCTAGACATGTTTTTATTAGACAAACTATATATGACATGGTGCATCTAGTCCATTCAAAAATTTCTCAGCTTTAAATTCCCCCAGGAGAAATTCATCTTGCATGGATAGGACTTGGTGCACTACATCATTTGTGCTCTATCCAATGAAAATATTCAATATCAAATGTATGTAAAAATAAATTGATTATGCAACTGATGATAATAGGGAGAGAAAAAATAAAAAAATTAAAGGGGTACTCTATTCTAAACATAAAGTCATTAAATAATGAGATATAAAATTTTATTTAATTGCATTGATGTAATTTTATTGGAAAGTTCATGGATGACTGGTGTACAAGGTTGAAGCAAAAAATTCCCCCCAGGGAGTCATCCTTCAACGCTCCACTTTATTGTCTTTTTGACTATTAAATGTTTCCGTTCTTAATTGTGGTAGTTAAGAGCTAGTCATTTTCCTCACACGGTTTCCGCAATAGGCGATTACAACAATAAATGCTTGCTCTGGGTCCGTTTTCTTTCTTCTTTTTAGTTATCCTGTCAAACACGGAACACTTCTATGCTTTCCTTTAATCGGTGTTTGGGTCAATTTTTACTTTGAGGTCCTAAACATCTCTACCGACTTTCTTTGAGCAATTATTAAAAAAGGGGTAAAAGGGGAATAATAATACTTTTAGTTCCTCATGTTTTTCTTAATTATAATTTAATCCCCTCAAGTTTAATTTATATCAATTTGATTGCTAAAATTTGCATCAATTATTCATTTGATTCTTATTGTTATTGTTTAAAGAGAAAGGTAAGACTGTACCAATAAGGGTTGGGTCTCACAAAAAGAAATAGTATTGAAAGAGGTGTCTAAATTTAATTTAATGCCTCGAACAAAATTGTATCCAATAAAATTAACGAGAAACATATAGATTAATCAAAAAAAATGTAATTATTTAGATGAGATTAAAATAGACTTGGAAATCTCCAAAACAAAAAGAACAAAATGCAGCATAAGAAATTATATTGATAAAAATTAAACTAATTGAAGGGTTAATTTATTTTCATTTAGCTATATATGTGTATCAAATTATCAACATACTATACACATTAGATTAATCTGAAAATCAATTTGTGTTTAAAAACTTAAAGGACTGGCATCATATAATTTAAGAAAATGCTAGGGACCAAATTAATAGATTAAATTTGATGGGAAATCAATAACTGAAGTAAAACTTGAGGAACTGACAGTTTCATTATCCTTATAAAAAATAGGGTTAAAAGGTAAAAATGTCCTAAAATTTTTTTATAAGAGGTGCTTGGTATCCTAAACCTTTTTTAAAGCAATATTATTTCAAAACTTTAAAAAATGGTGTAATATTACCCTATCATCAACATAGACCATGAGTTAACCAGCAGTTGACAGGTGACAGCACATGTTATTTAAAAAAAAAAAAATCTAGGGTACTTTTTCCCTTTAACCCTGAAAAATATAAGGACCACAACAAGCTTCATAAAAAATTTTAATGACAAAGACTAGCAAGTGGAATTTTTTTTATGATACTCTTTGGAGTGATCCAAAGTCACTATTCTAGTACTTCAGAAATAACGTGAAATAGGACGAAGCCAAAGACGACGAGGGAGAGTCACGACCCCTTAAGGTTTTAAATTGTATTGTAAAACAAAAAAGTTATATACTTTTAGCCCCAAAATATATTTGTAAATTTAAGCATAAACAAATGAATATGGGTTCCATCAGCAAATTATTTAAGTATATGTAATCAAGGCCTGCTTCACTCTTGTCAGTTGCCGCATGAGATTGAGCTGAATAAGATTTATAAGTTGAAGATGCTAATGTAAACCATACTTGCAGTGCAGTCCAACATCTTTTAAGCCAGTGTTTGCTACTAAGTCATGGACGTGCTTAATTATTCTTGAAATCAGATTTAATTTATTTAAAGTTTTAAGTTAAAAAAGTTTGAATAACTCTTTAAAGTTTTTCTTTGAAAAATAAAGAAATTATATATTTTTGGTCCCCAAAATATTTGTGTCTATGATACACAACGATATTTGAAAGAAAAATAACTTTTGAAAATATTATGTATGGATCTTGTGAAGCAAACTTATTCACAAATAAGTTCTGAGAAATTCAAAAAAACACAACTAGGTCCCTTGAGATCTGAGTATAATTTGAAATTAGGCTGCAAAGATAATAATACCCCTATTAAACATGCATTACTTTAATCAAGTAATTAATTTACAACTAGTTTATTAGCAATTTACAACTACAATTTTAACTTTTAACAACTATAATTTTACATATCTAATAATTTAAAATCATGCATTACTAACAAAGTTTAATATTAATTATTTACAACTAATTTATTAGTAATTTGCATTTATAAATTTAATTTTTTATAAGTGTAACTTCACATATTTAATAGTCAAATTGATCAATTTAATTATTAGCTATATGAAGTCACAATTGTAAGAAAATTGAGGTTATAGTTGTAAACTATTGATAAACTAGTTGTAAATTATTTAACTGATATAATGTATATATGTTTAATAGGGGTATTATTATCTTTTTATCCCAGCTACAAATTACACTCAAATCTCAAGGAGCCTAGTTGTACATAGGTTTTGAATTTTGCGAGACTGCTCCACCTAACTAGTATGTAATTTTCCCATAATTTTTTTCCTTATGAAATATATACTAAACATAAGATCTACTTTTTGTCACAGTTGGCTATCATTATTATATTGATATATTTACTACTGTAATAAAATTATCAATTGTATTAATTACATAATAAATTCAGCAAGCAATTAAGCAACATAGCCTTTTTAAATTGAGTATAACTTTGAATTCTGAAAAAAAAAAAAGATTTGATTGGAATAATATGAATTAGAGCATTATGAACTTAATGTGTCCAAAAATTCTAATTTTTAGAACTTGATGACTATGAATAAATTATGTCAAGTTTTTGTAGAGGTTAAAAAGTCTTATTCTTATTTATTGATAAATTTTTATATCATAAAGAATCACAAGCAAAATTTAATTAAAAACGAATGCGCATATTTATTTCAGATATATATTTGTAAATTTGAAGATAATTACATTGAAATATTTAGATTATGTTAATTGTGTGTGTGTGTGTGTGACTTTTCTGCAATTATCGTATAATTAGCTATGTAATCTCGGTCTCCTTCTATAATAAAAAATTCTGGCTCCACCTCTAACGTGAAGCAATTTGTTTATCATCGAATCTCATACTCTGAATCCACGACACGTTTTCCCAAAAGCAATTTTTCAGGTCTCAGAAGTATTTTGGAGTCCTTCCTAACTCAATTCCATGTATTAATATTCAATGGCAAACAATAAGCTAGAACACTAGAACTCATTCATGTGTGTGTGTGTGTGATTGTTGAACCCACTTGATTATGCTGAGGAATATTGTATCCAAGGATTTGTAAAGAATGTTATTTACATACAAAGATCAATATGGAATGAATTGTTGTTAAAATTCAAAAAGATCTTTATTTTTTCATGAATGTAACTTATTATTAATCATTATCTGCGAATAACATTTTTCATATGTCCTTGAATGCAATTCTTCCATTATTCTACATTCTTCTATGCGAAAGGGGCAGAAAATGTCTATAGGTAGTACATGTCTTGGAGAAATTGTTACATGCTCTATATTTAAAACAAAATAAAAGTCACTTTTTTAATGTTGAAGACGCTGAAAATATCACATAATGATTGTAAACAAGGGGAAAAAAATAGAAGTTCATGAAAGCAAATCCATAATGCATTTCTTACACGCATTGACTCAAATTCATTCATACTTGAGAAATTTAATATTATTATGTGCGTATCTCTGCGTGATCACACAGCTTACAAGTCTGCAACTCAATAATTGACGTGAAAGACGCGTAGTAGCAGCGTGTACTGTGGTGCAAGTGAAGGTCAATGACCTTCAAATTCAATGAATCATCTCTCATTCATCATCTCAATCTACCATTAAATGATCAATACAATTCTCATTCTCTCTCAGCCTCAACAAGCTTTCCTAGCTCTTCTCTTTTCATTTGCATAAGTAAATTATTTCCTTTTTTTTTCACAATACTATCTGATTAGATTTGAATGTTGTTGAGCTAATTGAGATATCCCTTCCATTATATTTTTTTTTCTAACCACAGGGTTTGATTCTTAATCTTTTTTTCAATTGAAAAGAATGAGTGAGTTCAATTTTAGAGCTTACTATGGCCTGGTCAAGCCTATGGTTTAAACTTAATCTAAATGGGAATTGAGTTTTTTTCCACTGGACATAACCTTCAATTTAAAGCTGTAAAAATTAAGCCAGCCTGTGGGTTGTGGGCTGGCCATGGTAGGTTAAGATTTCCCCAACCTAATCCACCAATTTTCTTTCTAGGTTTTTTTACTTATATTTAAATTTTTTATTTTTTTCTTGTAAATGAAATCCAATTTTTTCCTTTGCAAATTAGTTATCCAAACACCAAGAAAATAATTTTAAAATTGTTAAAACATAACAACAACAACAACAACAACAACAACAACAACAACAACAACAAAGTCTCCAAATCTCCACAAACATAATACAAAAGTTTAATCCGAAGCATTTATTGGGTTGCTGCTCTACTATCTGTAATTGTATATATTATCACTCTAATTAAATAAAATCAAGCACACCAATTCTGCTTGAACCCTTTTTTTAATAATTTATTTATCTGACCAACATAAATTATTAAAAAAACATTAGTAACTCCTTGGGCAACACAAAGTTTAATAACAAGACCTTGCAATCAAATAGCTTCCTTACACCCTTAGTTGCTGCTATACACTCTATTTCAGTTGATGACAATGCAAAAATAGATTGGAGAGATGATTTCTAGCTAATAGATGAGGCACAAAGGGTGAAAATATAAGCAAAAAGAAACTTTCGTTTATCAAAATCATGACCATGATCAAAGTCAATAAAACCAACAACATTGTTAGAGACAGCCTTATTCTTGTCAAATACCAGAGCAACATTAGAAGTACCTTTCAAATACTGAAGGATCCATTTAATAGTATCCCAATGACCCTCTCCAAAATTGTGCATGTATCTGCTTACCACACTTATTGTATATACAAGATCAAGCCTGGTATATATACACCATATTGTACATAAGACTACCAATAACATTTGAATAGGGCTTCCACTACTCTTGCCTGCTTTTCCTCTCCCCTCATTCCTAGGCAATCACTCCCCATTAACATTGTATTGATTTTATTACCCTATGTTTGATTATGTTATATGATATAACAATGGGAAAAAAATTCTTTTGATGAACACTCACTTCATATGAATGTTGAATAAAATGCACAGGCTATATGCACACACAGAATGTGTTTAAGTGAAGAGATACTCGAAAGTGATAGATTCTAATATAATTAAAGGAACTTGAATACAAAATTTATTAAGGCTTGGCATGGATGGAGGGAAAAGTAGAAGGAAATAGGGATGAGAGAAAATTAGGAGAAGAAATTTTCAAAAATAGTGAATTTATATAATTTTTTTCACCATTTTTGGGATTTTTCCTTCCTCCCTATTTAATTCAATTAATAATAATTTTAGGTGTGTGAATATTAGAAGCATTGAAATCAAAGGATTTTACCAAGGTTATTGAGACAGCTTATTAAATCATTATTGAGCAATTGATCAGTCTTTATAAAATAATTTTGTTCCCTTGAGAGTTGAAAATTGAGATAATATTAATTCTCATTATAATAGTTATTTGGGCATCGGACTCCTATTGCTGCAAATTCCAAAACCTATATGAAGGTTGAGATATCTTCTAACTAAAGATGTCGACTTCAAACCCAAACTCAACCATTGGCCTACCAGAAAACACGATACCAAGCTATCTCCCCAAAAAAAAAAAAAAAGTTCAATCTCAAGCCCACCGTCTAGTCTATTATCAAATGTGATTTTAGATGCATCATTGCATTAATCGAAATGAGCTAGAAATCACATTTTGTGAATTATAAATTTAAAGCCCATGTAGATATATGTAATAGGGAACAACCTCATAGAAATTCAATTGAATTTCATTGTTCATAATTATAAATATCATAATAAATATATTTATTTCTTTTTTAATTTCTCATTCATCTATTCATCTATTTATTATTTTTAATTATTCAATTAAGGATATAATAAGAAGAGAAAGAAATGATACACTTAAAGGTTGATTGAACTACCATCCGTTTGATCTTAGCATTTGGCACATACAGAAAGCATAATTGAATGTAAAGGGGAGTGTATTGGAATAAAAATTATAAATGAGAAATAAATAAATTAGTTGTGTGGAAGAAAGGAATCAAATCCCCTTTATTGAGGGTCTGGAAATCCCTTTGATTTAAACATTAAAAATGTTCTTTATTTGTGGTTTTTTTAATCGTTGTTACCAGATTGATATTTGCAAGGAAATTAAATCTTATCAAGAATGAAGATAAAATAATTTCAGATTGTAATAACAAAAATCAGCCTATATATAAATTCCTGTGCCATCGTCTTGAATATCCACTGGAAAATTTTCCACAATAAAGGTTCTTGATATTTGTCACCATGGCGAACAAATTAACAAACAAAAAGACTAGGGTCACAAATGTGGTGTTCTGCTTCTTGTTGCTTTTTGTTCAAATGACAATGGCAGATCGAAGCCGCAAAGATGGTAGTTCTATTCAGAAGCTTTTGAAGAAGTTGAACAAACCAGCTGTTAAGAGTATTAAGGTAGATATATGCTTTGTGTGTGTGTGCGTGTGTGTGTGTGTGAAGCAAGCAAGTGAAGTTTTTTTTTTTAAGTCTTTTTGGCTTTTATTCAGAATTTGATATGAATATTGTGTGTTTTACAATTTATGATCGTCTGTGCTAACAATTTGTATGATTAAATCCAGAGTCCTGATGGAGATATAATCGACTGTGTTGATATTTTAAAACAGCCAGCTTTTGATCACCCAAAGCTTAAAAATCACAAAATTCGGGTCAGAGAATTTTGTTTTTGTTGTTTTACTTCTTCTCATTCAGATTTGAGGCCAGGAAACTAATTAATTATTTCCAATTTGATTGAAGATGAGGCCAAGTTCTTACCCAGAAGGGATGATCATTGAAGGAAGTAATAATGTGCCTTCAAAATCACCACCAATTGCTCAACTATGGCACCAAAGTGGAAGTTGTCCAGAAGGAACCATTCCTATTAGAAGAATAAGAAAAGAAGACATGTTGAGAGACAGATCTATCCGACAATTTGGAAAGAAGAATCTCCAGACCATTCGTCTACCCTCTGATGCTGGAGGTCAACGTGTCAACGAGGTATTACTAAGAGTCCAGCTTTAGAGGTGATGAGATTTGGACATTCTAGATTTAATTTTTTGTTTTGGGCAAAGACATTCTAGACTTAATTTGGACTATCCAAATTTAACATTTTCATTATACAAGTTTAAAAAATTTATTAAATCTGGGTGTGAAATGAATGGTGGTGATTTGGGCCACTTAAACATCATTATAGAGTTTAATTCCTAGACGTGTGAATGGAAATCATTACTAGGGAGAGAACAATCGTAAATGGTGATTCCTTTATAGACTAATCTCATGGCTACCGAATGTGAGAATACCCTATGAAACCAATAAAAAAATAAACAACTCATCACTAATCAGATTTAATCTAGATGGTCTAATTTAATATTAAAAATTTATAATTTTTATAAATTAACTATCCACATATTATTTGAACAGTCTAGACTTAGTATTAAATTTTTTTATAAAATTTATAAATTTTTATTTTGGCAAATAAAATATTAAAAATAAAGATAATCTTCTAACTAACAATTTAAAAAAATTATTTTGTTGAAAAAAATTACAAGTTGAAAATTGTAAATCTGATGAACACCGAAGCTAGAATCAACTGACCAAGTGTTGTCTCTAATAACTAAACGATAAGTTTTTAGTGTCTGTTTTCTGTTTTGTTCATTTGATGACTTGTTTTTCTTTTCTCTTTTTTTTTTTTTTTTTTTGCGTCTATGATTCTTTGGAATGTCCAGTATGCCTCGGTTTTTGTGAAAGGAGAAAAATATTATGGTGGCAAGGCAGCCATGAACGTTTGGAACCCTAAAGTTCAACAAGATGTCGAATGGAGTGTCTCTGCAATTTGGGTCGTAAATGATGTTGATAAAGAAAATCTCAATGCAATTGAAGTTGGATGGCAGGTATTATATATATATTGAAAAAATTACCCAACAGAAAAGCAAAATAAGTTAATAATTAGTGAACATATATATTATACAAATGTATTTTGACTTGCTCACCATGTTTTAAATATTTGTTTACGTTATTTGTCACTAGAAATCTTTCTCATTCTCTGTTTTATTTTTTAACTTTGGACAATTAGGTGAATCAGTATCTCTATGGGGATAATCGAACCAGACTTTTTACATTTTGGACTGTGAGTTCCAAGTTCTTAGCAGCCCTACATTTTTTTTCTTTTCTTTTTGTTCAATAAGTTTCTTTGTGTGTCGTTGATATTTTCTTAATGTTTTTTACATGACAGGATGATAATGATAAAAGTACAGGATGCTATGATCTTCGTTGTTCGGGCTTTGTTCAGCTTAATGCTGGAATCGCCGTGGGAAGCACCCTTGAACCCTTATCTGTCTACAATGACACAAATTCCCAATATGATATCCAGATCATGATCTGGAAGGTAACTATTGTTTTTTCTTTCAGAAAATGATAATTAAATCTTAAAAGAGGAAATTAATAACAGTTATGTCCTAAAAATTTTTTTAAAAAATAAATTGTCTTAAATTTTTTTAAAAATAAATTGTAAATATTGATTTAAATAATTGTAAATTTAAGAATTTTAATTTCAAATATAATATATATAAATTCTAAACGTAATAATAATTTTCATTTGTAATTGATATTGCAGTTCGTAAAGTGTATCTGAATTAATAATTGTAACTTAATTTTCAAATTCTTTTGGGACCTCACTGTCATTAATTTTCAGTAATAGGACTTTATTTTTTTTTCCAAGAATATATAGCTTCACCAATAAGAAAAAGACATCTATATATTTTCGATTACCTATATATAGAACATAAAATATATAAAATGCCACAATATTCATTGGTCATGAAATATAGTGCCACTTATTTCAAATTTCTTTGAAGGAATTTTTTTTCTTTTGGCTAAAGAAGGAATTAGAGTATAGTTCATGCATGACTCTTATTGGCAGTTTAGTCAGGCATAAAACTAACGAGTATATTTGACGCATCTTTATTTTATTCTAAAATTCCATTTTATAAAATCTATACAGTGTCAGCTTCTCTCTATGATTAATCGAAAAAAGAAAATATTTTCTTGATATTTCATCATCATCACATGATGGACTTGGGAGAATTGGATTCCTCCAGTCCATAAATATGAATAACTTTATCTATTATGATAACTAGAAATTTGTTCAATTCCCTGCTACATTATTGGGAATGGAAAGTGACCTTTTGGAAACTAAGGGGATAAGAGGGCAAGAGTAGGAAGAAGTATAATCTTAACTTCACATTTCAACACTTATAAGTCCTTCCTTTTATTTTATATTAGTCATTAAACCCAATTTTATTTGATGTATGTATATCTTTCCATATCGGTTTAAGTCCACTCAGACTTGAACAACCTAGCTAATAAAATTAAATATGTAATTGAAAATGTTGTATAAAAAGAATGATTATGATAATGAGCAGGATAAAAGCAATGGAGATTGGTGGATGCAATATGGAGATAAAGTTATGGGATATTGGTCATCGTCTCTGTTCACACACCTCTCAGATAGTGCAACATTCATACGTTGGGGAGGTCAAATAGTAAACTCAGCAACAAATGGACAACACAGCACAACACAAATGGGAAGTGGGCAATTTCCAAGAGAACATTTTGGGAAAGCCAGCTTTTTCAAGAACCTTAATGGTGATAACCAAATGGTCCCTGCTGATACCATTTTCAATCAGGTTGATCGTTCCACTTGCTATGATGTCCAAACTGGTCGTACTGATGGTTGGGGTAGATTCTTCTATTTTGGTGGCCCTGGCAGAAACCCTAATTGCCCATGATGTTGCTATTTTAACGCTTAGTGTATTTCTAGTTTTTAAGAAAATAAAGTGTTCAGCAGGTATTAAAACAAGCCAATATTAACGGGCAGGTAGATGTGTGCTCCCTCATGCCTATTGTACTCCATCCAATTCTTATATTATAAGGTGTCTTTTAGAAGAATTCTTAAGTTGGTCCTTAATTATATAACTCATCATATATTTTATATCTCTCTCTTTCTATTTTTAATAGGAGTAAAGTTGAAAGTTTTTTTCATTTTAAGACATTTAATGAATTAACCATCATTTCTTGATTCTAGTTATTAGTTAAGACACTTTAGGATAGGGACCGAAGGAAGTAAGTCACTTCAACCACCTCATTAAAATCAAGTAAAAGTAGTTAACTCATTAAATTTGTTGAACTCTTGTTTTGATGATTACAAAATAGAGAAAATTTTGTTTTACTGGAAAATTTAATGCTATTTATTGGCAATTAAGGGTAACTAAACTCACAGCCTTTAAACTCATAATTTCTATTTTCTTTTATGTTCTTATACCCAAAATATTTTGCCTATACCAATAGAAGCATGAATCTCCTAATATTCCAAGCTTTGATTCTTTGAGATTCTTTTTGAGTTAAGTACTCAATTTTTCTCAAAATCCTTCTTTTGCTAATTGAGAAAAATTTAAGTTGATTCGATCTCTCTTTCATTTATTTTGGACATTGAAACTTCTCAAATTCTTTTTATTCCTCTATACTGGTACGATGTTGTTTATACCGGTGCAACTCTCTCCATTCCCTTATTTCTTCACTTATACCCATACAATGGCATTTGTTCCGTTGAAGTTTGAGTTATACCAGTACTGAGTCTCTTCATACCGTTACAGTTCCCTTTGTTCCCTTATTTCATCATTTCTACCGATATAGTGGTATTTATTCCCTAAACTTTCTCTTTATACCCATGCTATCCTCTATTATGGTACAAACATCTTTGTTTGGGCGCAGTCATTCGTTCTAATATGGGTACAAACATACTTATTTGGACACAAACACTCTTATTAGGTTGAGAGACCATTTATTCCAGTATAGTGCGTCTCTAATAATTGTCTTTTAGTTTTTGCCTTCTCTCTCTCTCTATATTTAGGGGTATCGTTCCTTAACTCATCTCTTTTATTTTACAAAATTTGTTAAATTTTTATTTAGCCTAATTTACCCCCTCTCAGGCAACTTTACAATCTTAAAATTTAATAGTATTCCAATTTTACCCCTATTAAGAGATAAACACAATATTTGAGGAGTTATATAGAAAATTGGAAAATGTTAATCAATAATATTCTATGTGACTATATTAAAGACCAATAAATTCTTTTATGTCACCTGTAATAGACTAATTGGGACTGGAAAAAATATTACTCCCCTCATCCCAAATTATAAAACATTTTTAGATAAAATGTCACATACCAATAAAATTCATTAAATATATTTTACAATCTTACTTTTTCAAGACAAAAATTGAAACTTTTAAAAATGTCCTTCATTTAATACTCCATTAATAAAAAAATATTAAAGAGAGAGAATATATGGGAAGGATAATATTGAAAAAGTGTCATTAATAAAATTTTATTTTTATCAAAGTGTCTTATATTTTGGGACGTTAAATATTTTCTAAAAGTGTGTTATAATTTGAGATGAAGAGAGCACTTTATTTGCCTTATACTTGGGTAGTGCTCATCATCTAGTTTACTCTATATGTACAAGGTTCGTGATAAGTAATAAAATATTGAGAAAACTATAAGCATCATCTTGTAGAGATTTGCATAGAAAGTTGTCAAATATTAGACATTGACTGTTGAATTGATTTGAGTAAACAAAAATTGCAAATTTGTAAAAGGTTGATGCTTGATATATGGGATACAAAAATTCTGGTATTGTGCATTTCTCAAATATGCAATGGACCTCCTCGAATCTTTGCTCTTAACAAGAAATTATAAGTGTTGTCTTGAGTCTCTAGATAGGGGTATATTTCACAACAAAGAGGAGCAATGTGCATTGGTTCCATACATGCATGGATTCAAAATAATTCTATAAATAAGTAACATAGATGCATCAAGTGGAAGTACATGTACTGGGAAAAGAAGAAACTTTATAAATGACAAATATACGTGATACTTTATTAAATCAAAGATGATAATTAAAAATAGCACTTTCGTTGATTACAGAAAATGGGGAATAGAAAAATTTCTTGGGGCCAAATCCATATATAGGGTTGGGGTACATGAATATCACAAATTTAAAAAGTGTCTTTGTTTGCTGTTTACTATATAGAACAAATCAGCCTATATAGTTGTCATAAAGTCTTGGATATCCTTCAATGTAATGGAAGACGATCGAATTAGGAAATAAGATGATCTGGATAGCGAATGTGGTGCTCTACTTCTTGCTCTTTTCTGGGCAAATGACGATGGAAAATCGTGACACAATTGATATTGGTAATCATAGTCATAAACATGAAGTTGAGAAGCTTTTGATGAAGTTGAATAAACCAGCTGTTAAGTCCATTAAGGTAGGCAAATTATCTCTCCATGTTTGAAACACTAGTGGAGAGGAGAAATTATTGATGGGTTTTAGTACAATTTATGATAGTTTATGTTGATAATTTGTTTTTTCCCCTCTTAAACTAGAGCCCTGATGGAGATACTATCGATTGTGTTGCTATTCTAGATCAGCCAGCTTTTGATCATCCAAAACTCAAAAATCACAAAATTCAGGTGAAACAGTTTGCTTTTTATATTCTTTTAAGTTTTATTGATTAACCTCTTGTTCAGAATACTCAAACCAATGAATTATTTCATGTTTGAATGAAGATGAGGCCAAATTTTGGGCCACAGGATAATAAGATACTTGAAGAAAGTGAAATATCTTCGAAATCAAAGACAATCCATCAGCTATGGCACCACAGTGGAAGTTGCCCAGAGAGTACAATTCCTATAAGAAGAACGAGAGAAGATGATATATTGAGAGCAGGCTTTATCCAACGATTCGGAGAGAAGAATCTCAAGAACAATTTCATATCCCCAAGTGTTGGAGCTCAAGGTCACTATGAGGTACTTGTGTTATTATATTTTTATTTTTATGTTTTTTAAACATTTGTGTCGAGTAGTTTTTTGGAACAAGTTTTGAAAACAAACAATAAAAAGTCTTTTTTTAAAAAAATATGTGTGAAACATTATTCTAATAAATATATTTAAAGTGGTGAAATGAAAGTTGAACGGATTATTTACTTTAATATAATTGTCATTAATAAAAAAGTAATATTTTTTGCACTTTCTTTAAGTTTGCAAAACAAAAAAGTAACAAATGATCAAAAAATGATTTGATTTTTTAGGTTTCAAAACATATTTTAACTTTTTTATTTTTTAAAATGGTAAATAAAAACACATCTTTAAATAATCCCTTCGTCCCAAATTATAAGACATTCTTAGACAAAATCTCACATATCAATAAACCTCATTAAACACACTTAATAACCTTATATTTTCAAAACAAAAAAATAAACTTTCAAAAATATCCATAATTAATATATTGAAAAGAGAAGGAATGAAAATTAGCTATAAAGAGAGAAAGAGTAATACCCCCTCTGTCCCAAATTATAAGATACTTTTAGATAAAATCTCACATACCAGTAAACATCATTAAATATACTTAACAACCTTATCTTTCCAAAATAAAAATGTAAACTTTTCAAAATGCCCATCATTTAATACATTGAAAAGAGAAAGGATAGAAATTAATTATAGAGAGAGAAAGGGTAATATTAAAATTGATGCATTTAATAAAATTTTAATCTATCTAAAGTGTCTTATATTTTAGAATAGAAAAACTCCTTCCAAAGTGCCCTATAATTTGGGACGGAGGAAGTATTAGAATTGAAGCATTTAATGAAACCTTAATCTACCTAAAGTGTCTTATATTTCAAGACGGAAAAAATCTTTTAAAAATTTGGGACTGAAAGAGTAGAATTTTTTAATTTTTTTCAAAACAAAAAACTGTGCCATGGATTTTTGTGTTTTGTTTTGCTTTATTCGATGTGTTTAATTTTTCTTGTTTAGTATGCCTTGGTCTTTTTGAAAGGAAATAAATATTATGGAGCCAAGGGAACCATGAACGTCTGGAACCCTCGTGTTCAACAATCCCAAGAATTTAGTCTTTCAGCAATTCGGATTTTAAATGATGCTGATAGTGAAAATCTCGAAATTATTGAAGCTGGTTGGCAGGTATTCTTTTTGTTCCCCCCTACCTAACAGAAAAAGAAAAATTATTTAATCAAAAGAAAATATGTGTAACATATAAAATAAAACACGTTTTTGACTTCTCATGCCCCTATTACCTATTTGTCTATTATTTATTTTGGACATTTAGGTAAATCCAGAGCTATATGGGGATACTAACACCCGACTTTATACATTTTGGACTGTAAGTTCAAATTTTCTTAACAGCCCTAAATCTTGGTTTGTTCAAATCATTTTCTTCGTCATTGTTTTTTTTTATTATTTTAATTTGACAGAGTGATTCAAACGAGAATACTGGATGCTATGATCTTCTTTGTTCTGGCTTTGTTCAAGTAAATGCTGAAGTAGCTCTGGGAAGCAGCATCAAGCCCTTGTCTATATACAATGACATTAATTCCCAATATCAAATCACGATCACCATCTGGAAGGTACGATTTTTTAAGGGCTAGAATTCATTACTTCCCTCAAAGAAAAACACGTTCATGACATTAGTTATTAGGTAGTCTAAGTATAAGTGAACTAGAGTTGACATGAGAAGTCTCACATCAAATAAAATTTGATTTAATAACTAATATAGAATAAAGAGAAATAATTCATAAATTTGTGTCTTAAAATTTTGACTTAAGATTGTCTTTCCATTTCCGTCGCTTTTTGCCCATTTGTTCCGAATTCTACTGTTTTTTAGAAGTCCTATTTTGCAATATACAAGGCATTTTATATAATACTACCAATTATTACACATGTTTCTAATGAGAGGAAAGTAATTTTGATAAACTTCTATTGAAATTTAAAGTAAAAATACAGTAATTGCCTTTAGAATATTCTATAAAATACCCCACAACACAGGATTTCCACACAAAAAATTGCATTATAGTTGAAATTGAGCCTGTACGAAGACAATCTTGACACAACAACTTTTGAAGTTCCACCACCTGGGTTCGGATTCTTCTTGAATTCTGATATGAACTAATTTCTTTAGCTGCACGTGTTCCGTGGCCCTTGTATTAAAAACAAACAAACAAACAAACAAAGAAGCAGAGATGCAGTAATAATTGACAATTGTGATAATGAACAGGATAGAGGCAGCGGAGATTGGTGGATGCTACTTGGCAGTGATAAACTAATTGGATATTGGCCTTCCACTTTGTTCTCAAGTCTATCAGACAGTGTAACAGTGATAGAGTGGGGAGGTGAAGTACTAAACTCAGAAGCTAACGGACAACACTCAACAACACAAATGGGAAGTGGGCATTTTCCAGGAGAAGAATATGGAAAAGCTAGCTATTTCAAGGACATTAAATTTGTTAATGGTAACAACCAAATGTTGACAGCTGATAACGTTGTGTCTTATGTTGATCGTTCCAATTGCTACAATGTACTCCAACCTGCCTTTTCTGATAATGCTTGGGGCAGCCACTTCTATTTTGGGGGTCCAGGGAGAAACCCTAATTGCCCCTGATCATTAATTAGCTTCAGTAATACTCAAATATTTCAACAGATCATCAAACAATTAAGGTGGTGTTGTTTTTTGGTTTTTTATATTTAGTTTGTAATTAAAATTTAAGCTATCCAAAAAAATACCATTTGGTGGTGACGTATATGTTGTATGTGTGTCAAAAGTGTGTGTGTGTCAAAGTCCCACATTGACTAAAAGAAAGACTCTCCTAATGTATATATACTAAGAAATAAAGTGGGCCAGCAAAATAGACTTGGAGAAAAAGTGGTTTCGTGCACATGAGACAGGCCAACTCAGGGCAATCACAATTGAAATCAGTCGATTCACCCCCCCTACGCGCGAGTTCAAGAGGTAATGGGTTCTTTTTACCGGATTATTTTTACAAAATAAATAATTATTTTTGGCTTGCCGGAGAAAGTCAATTTTTTGCTGTCTGAAGTTTGAAATCAAATCAAGAATGTTTTTTGATCATTAACCAAATTAATTTTCTAAATATTTTGTCTTCCCAACATTTCCAGATAGGAGGTTAAATGCATTTTACGTTTGTGTAACCCCAACATTTCCAAACAAGTATTTAAATGATTTTTATGACAATGTAACTGAGCCTTTAATCCGGTGGTAACCCCCCAATGTTCATGTCCACCTTTGGGCTATATATAGCTATGGGTACAGACAGAGCGGTACAAGCCTCTTGAGTTTTCGGGGTTCTCTCCTCCCTCTGTCAATTCGTCTGTGTTTGTCTGTGTTTACATTTAGTCTCTGTTGTTCTGTTCCCTCGTTCCGCCGAGGAAGTGCTTGTTTAATCCTAAGAAACTGCCGGTCTCGGAAGGTGTGCCAGAATAGTTGTTAAGGACAGTGTCCTTCTGGGCATGACTCAAGCAATTCGTACCTCGCCATTTGCGTTTCTACCGGTGTCGCCAACAGTATATGTGATGGCGGCTTCTATGTAGATGAGAATGCGATATTAATTGATTTTTTACTTTTCTCTTTATTTCAATTCATGAATATCATTTTCTACTCCAGTTTAGAGCAAGAAAAGAAGATAAATAATCGAGTAGTCGCACTATCAATTTATTCGCCATGGGAAATTCATATCCAAATCTCTAATTTGACATTTTTCTCCATAAATAATATTTATAAGATTGTTTAATAATTTCCAATATATTCAACTCAGAAGCATGTATTTGTTGATTCCAGTTAATTAATTCGGATATCTATAGCCAACTTACATTGGGCATAGGATAATAGGATGACACAATATAGGTTGATTTCCTAGAATATAAATATAAATAATCCTGTAAATTATGGTATTTTCAACGATTTAATTACACAAATTTTAAGAGGAAACAAACAGGCTGTGATTTGATAAATTAATGGTTACAATGCAATATAAGATTATACCCTGCAGACTCCCATCGAAAATTATACAATGATAACAGAGATATAAGGAATTCAACTAAATATTCAAATCAAATCAAGTGCTCAATACAGAAACTGATTTTCGACATTAGGTTCGATCCCTTGAATTAATCACAACATATTTCAAATTTTCTTGTTCTTTCTGGAGATACCATGAAAGATGACCCCTTTATTATACCAAGCAGGGTCAATGAATATTATTGATTTACAACATTAAAACGTTTCTTTGTGTGGTTTTTTGCCATTGTCATAATTAACCTACTGGTTTATTTTACCAGGTAATTAAAATCTTGTCACAAAGTCAAGAACAATAAAATTATTTCAGATTCTAATAGTATGAATCATTCGATAAATTCCTGTACCGACTAGTCTTGAATATCCACTAGAGCATTTTCATATAGATGATTTTTTTCATAAGTCTTTCTCAGCTTCAATGGCATCAAGATTAGGAAATGGGAAGACTTGGGTAGCCAATATGGTGTTCTGCTTCTTCTTCTTCTTCTTCTTGTCTGTACACATGAATGCAGGTTTAGATACAGTCAACAACGCCACCAACAATGGCGTGCAAGGTTCTTCTAGTCAAAAGCTTGAGGTTGAGAATCTTTTGAAGAAGTTGAATAAACCGGCCGCTAAGTCTATTAAGGTATATATAGAATTCATCTTGCTTCTTATCCGCAGCTTTTAAGGATCATTTTACAACTTATGATCCTTTATGTTGTCAATTTGTATTTGCTAAAATCAGTGTCCTGATGGAGACATAATCGACTGCGTCTCTCTTCTGAAACAACCTGCTTTTGATCACCCAAAGCTCAGAAATCACAAAATCAAGGTGAATTTGACATTCATTTACTAATTAATTTGGCTTCTTATAATGTTCAGAATTCTGAAGCCGATCGATAATTAATCTGTTTTTTTTTTTTTAATTGAAGATGAGGCCAACTTTCCGACCAGAAGAAAAGACAATATCTGAAAACAGTAAAACGTCTTCAAGGTCAAAGCCATCAATTGTTCAGCCATGGCACCAAATCGGAAGTTGCCCAAAAGGAACCATTCCGATAAGAAGAACAAGAAAGGAGGACATACTGAGAGCAAGCTCTATCCAACAGTTTGGGAAGAAGAATCTCAAAACTGTCCCTTTACGTTCACATGCTGTTCGTCAAGGTTTCTACGAGGTATACACTTACGTCATCTCTTATCAAAAGTAGCTGCATGTATGGGGCCCGCATCTTTTTTTTTTTTTTTCTAGTTTTATTTATAAGTCAAGAGCTCATACATAATTCCGATGGGTTGAGATTATTTGAGCTTGCCCTGTAAAGTTAAGTCCGATCTTAACTTGTTCAGGCCGACCCAAAAAACTACATTGCTGATTTCTTTAATTCTTCAAAAAAAAAATCAATTTTAATTTTTAATTTAAAATTAATTATTTTTATATTATAAAAAATGTAAAATTTATTTTTGGGATATTTATAAAATGCAGAAGATTCAAAAAAATTTTAGGGTCTTAAAGTTTAAAATCAAGATTAAAATACATTTTAAATTTTTTTAGATATTTTATAGACTAAATAATAAAAATATAACAATGTAAATAATTTTTTAGAAAATATCTATAATAATATACTTAAATATATAGTCTCTTAGTATAAAAAAATAAAAATTTAAAGAATTAATTAATATTTAATATATTATATATTATTTAAAAATATTTTTAATTCTGATATTTAGGCAGAGCTCAAATTAAATTTGGACTTGGCTTGAATATCCAAATAGACCAAGCATTAAAAGAGTATGATTTTTCTAAGCCTAGTCCTAAATTATTTTTTTTGTACTTATTGAGGCTAGCCCAAATTATTGGCTTTTATTTTAGCATGTTTCACCCAAACTAAGAAAAACCTTAAATCTTAATAATTTTATCTAAAAATTCAACAATTTTCTAACTTCACCCCTATTAAATATACATACTTTAAAAATAAAATAATCTAACATTTAGAAACAAAAATAAATATGGATGTAGAAATCTTAGAGGTAACTTATAAGTAGCAACAAAACAAATTCTCTCTATGTGCCTTATAAATAAGATCAGAGGAATAATTACTTATGAGACCCACTACTACTCCACAACTTTTTTCTCGTTTCATGATTCTTTGATGGTTTTTGGTGGATCCAGGATGCTGTAGTTTATGTGGATGGAGAAAAATATTATGGAGGCAAAGCAACTATTAACGTGTGGCAGCCTTCTGTGGAGAAGGATGAGTGGAGTTTCTCTCAGATTTGGGCTATAAATGATGCTGATATTAAAAATCTCGATACCATTGAAGCTGGTTGGCAGGTAATTATAGGATTTTTTGGCTTTTGATTTAATTAGTCCTAAATATTATTAGTAACTGCATCCAATCTCTAAAAAAATTCCAATTGTGTCGAATTTTCTCTTTTTGGAATGGAATATTTACAGAATCTCCATGAATAGGACCAAACCTTATTCCATAGTATTTATATAGGATTCATCTTTCTTATTCTTAAGCAAGTCCCCGAGAGTGCTTAGTTGATCCATGATTTATGTTTCGTCTTTTGTTTCCTTTTCGTTTGTTTCGAGAGATATATCAATCAATTCCTATTCTTTTTCTATTGATTCTTTTCCGATGTCTCATTCTCTTGTGTCTGCCTTTTTTTTCTTTCCCATAATACCCCTATTTATTGGAAAGTTTTTATTTCTGCTATTATATCTTAATCAATAATCATTAAATAGCCTTTGTAATTTTGGAGAAGTGTTACAAATTCTCTATCTCTTATTAATCACAAATAACCAAGTTACCTACTTCTATTGGTTTCCACTCAAAGAAATTCTGCACCACATGATCATGTTTTATCAAATAATATTGCATCAATTCAATCAAATAAAATGTTATGTGTGATTTTTTTAATGATTTCATTTTTTAAATAAAGTGCTTATTTAATTTTTTACCTTTCCTCTCTCTATCACCAATAATGACAAAATTAATTTATATTTATAGCCATATGACTGGACATGTTTTTATTGGACAAGGCATGAATAACATGATATATAAAAAATCATGTTTAGGATCAGGAAGGGTGTAAAAGTTGGAGTACTCATAAACTTAAGCTTTTGAATTAAAATATGACGCATGCCAATTCTATTGAAAACGTTATTTGGAGCTCCAAAATTAGGTTCGAGGAAACCAAAAAAAAAAAAGCAAAATAATTAATCATAATGAAGAAAAAATGCAAACTTATAAAACTCACTTTTGAAATTATCTTATATTCTTGAAGATTCATTCACATCATTTATTAATATTATACTCCTGAGATTACATCTTGGCGTTTAGCAATAATCATTTCAAATAACAGTTACATATGTGTATTTTACTTTGTTATGTATTGTATCAAAGACCATTATACTTTTTAAAAAAAATAAATATTTCCAAGCATTAGCTAATTTTAGTGTTTGAATATTTCTTAATGTCCCTTCGTATCTATCTCATTCTCTATTTCTCTATTCTTTAATATTGAAAATTAGGTGTATCCAGAGCTGTATGGGGATAATACGACCAGACTTTTTACATACTGGACTGTGAGTTCAAATGCCTTTGCAATCAGATCTTTTTTTTTTTTTTTGTTCCTTCCAATAATTTTCTTCATCATTTTTATTTTGTTAATGTTTTTAATACTACATGACAGAGTGATTCATATAAGAGTACTGGATGTTATAATCTTTTTTGTTCTGGATTTGTTCAACTTGATGCTGGAATCGCTGTGGGAGGACGAATCTTACCAATATCTGTCTATGGTCACTCTAATTCCCAATATGATATCACTATCATGATATGGAAGGTACTTTTTTTTAATATCAACAATATTATATATACAACTTCGCCCTTTTAAAAAAAAATTCATGATGTATAGTAAATCAAAATGTACATGTTAATTATTATAGGAAAAACTGTATATATTTAGCTTTACATAAGTATAAAGGTGTTTGTTTCCAATTAAATCAAGACATGTTGATTTTTTATATATTATTTATTCTATGACAAACTCTTTTTTATCAATATTATTAACATTAATTAAAGGTAAAAGAATAAATTGGACACTAAACTATAGGTCCAAAGCATCTAGAACCATAAATTCATTTTTGGTATAATATTCCCTTCAACTTTTGAAAATAATACAATCTAACCCCTACTATTAATAAAAATTAACTTTTGACTGTTTATACAGGACTGTTCTTACTAATGATGGTCTCACAGACATCTCAAGGATACATTTGACATTTTTAATGAACATAATTCATATTCTATGACTCTAAACTACTCAAGATCCTACAATAAGCTAATTCTATTATTTGGTAATGAGTAGGATAAAAGCAACGGAGACTGGTGGTTGGAATTTGGCGATAAAGTTATAGGATATTGGCCTTCCTCTCTGTTCCCACGCCTATCTGATAGTGCAACATACATACAATATGGAGGTGAAGTGGTAAACAGAAAACCTAATGGCCAACACACCACAACGCAAATGGGAAGTGGGCATTTTCCTTCAGAAGATTTTGGAATAGCTAGCTATTTCAACAATATTAAATTCATTAATTCCCAAAACCAACTCATGCCTCTTGATTACTTGGTCCCTGTCAATGATTATTCCAATTGCTATGATCTCAAATATGACCATGATGATAATGGTTGGGGCAACTTCTTCTTTTATGGAGGACCTGGTAGAAACCCTAATTGCCCATGATCAATCACTTGGCAGATTATATATATGTATAAAAATAAATGGACGAAAAGGTATCTATCTTACGTATATGTTTTCTTGTTTGCATGTTTATCCGTTGATATAACATATTTTGTAATTTAATATTCAAATTGTCTATTAAACATGTTGCTGCTCCTCTAGGAATTTTTTTTATTCATCGGTTTAAAATAATGTGTTAATTTATATCAATCTATTATATCATTGGTTTAAAATAACGCTTGACCTTATATATTTTAGAAATCCTAAAAATTAAATGCAAATATCTTAGAATAATATAAAAGATATCAATAAGTGAAGAGATTATTATAGGAATTAAAACAAAATATTCATATATCTTCAACGTTCTGATCTTCATTTTCTTGCGCCATCTCAGGGTTTAGATATCAGGTTTCATCCCTAAAATCAATCATATAAAAAAAATAGAATGCCAAGGAAAAGTAATAAGTAATACTTAATCGAAGAACCTTCATCTCCTTTATAACTCAATAATGCTTGAATCAAAATTAAAATGTAATATTTGATACTATGTCGTCGCTACTAAAAACAAATTAAAGTTCCAACTCAAATCTTACGGGGATATCGTAGGAAAGTAAGATTAAATTTTTTTTTATTGGGATATAACAAAGAAAAATGTTGAACCTATGTTTTTTATTCTAAAATGTAAAAAAAAATTGTAGAAATAATCAATTAATATTGATATATTGTTTTTTCTTCCTCCTAATGGATATTTTTCTTACTTTTTGCAAAGGTAATAAAAAGTTCAATGTTTCCTATTCAACTTAGAGTTAGGAGAGAAAGGAATGGCAGAATTCAAGAGGTGGTCGTATTATTAGCCATTTGATTTGAGGTTAAGAGCCCACACAACTCATCACTTAGCATGCAAGAACGAATCTATATGTAATATAAAAATCAAACTCCTAAAAACTTTACTCATAATATGACTCATTGTTTAAACTTCGTATTGATCTCACTAGTTGAGAGTCTAACATATTACAAAGAAAAATAATCAAGAGTGAAAATAAGAGTATAGTAAATATTCGATATATTCCTTTCTTTTGGGGAAATAGGAAGGACATGGCCCCTTTATTATACGAAGCAGGGGCAAATGAATCTCATTGATTACAACATTAAAATGTTTCTTTATGCGTTTTGTTGTCGTTTTTATAACCAGATTCATTTTCCCAGGTAAAATCTTGTCACAAAGATCAAGGGCCATAAAATAATTTCAGATTCTAATAACATGAACGATCCTATAAATTTCTGTGCCATCATGTTTTAAATATTTACGCATCATTTTCATTGAGATGATTGTTTCATATTTCTCAGCTTCAATGGCAGCAAAATTGATACATGGGAAGACTTATTGGGTAGCCAATGTGGTGGTGTTCTTCTCGTTTTGTGTACACATGACGCACGCGGGTCTAGACACAGTCAACAACGCCACCACCAACAATGGCGTGGAAGGTACTTTTGGTCAGAAACTCGAGATCGAGAAGCTTTTGAAGAAGTTGAATAAACAAGCCGTTAAGTCTATTAAGGTATTTATAGAATTCATCTTCATGTTTCTTATCCCCATGTTTCAAACATCGGGGGTTAAAAAGTTACCTCTCTATCTCCATATAGTATTTCACTTTTTGGGGGTCTGGTTTGTTGATAATGATATTTGAAATTACTTGAGGATTCTACAACTTATGATCCTTTGTTTTGTCAATTTGTATTTGCCAAAACCAGAGTCCTGATGGAGATATAATTGACTGTGTTTCTATTCTAAATCAACCTGCTTTTGATCACCCGAAACTCCAAAATCACAAAATTAAGGTGAATTTGAGATTCATTTGATTTAATTTGGCTTCTTAATTATTGCTTAGAATTTTGAAGCAAATTAACCATTTTTTTCATATGATATGATTGAAGATGAGGCCAACTTTCCGACCAGAAGAAAAGACAATATCTGAAAACAGCAAAATGTCTTCAATTGTTCAGCCATGGCACCAAATTGGAAGTTGCCCAAAAGGAACCATTCCGATAAGAAGAACAAGAAAGGAGGACATATTACGAGCAAGGACTATCCAACAATTTGGGAAGAAGAATCTCAAAACTGTCCGTCTACGCTCATATGTTGCTGGTCAAGGTGGCCACGAGGTACTTGTGTTGTCTCTTACCCTACCTAAATGAGATTTTTTTTTTTTTTACCTCATTAATCTATATTTATGTATTGTTTTCATCCATATATACACACAAGGATGGAGGTTATTTGTAAATATCTATGTGGCTATTCTTTGACCAATAAGACATATCCTAAACCTGATGATCTCACAGAATTCACCTCATAGTCATCACTTAAGCTTTCCGTTTATCCAAAACTAAACATCTAGTGCAAGCCGTTATTATCCTTTCACTTTTGCAACAGTGAGTGAGACATATTTACTTTGACCGACCCCTCATAGAAAAAAGTTGTTCTTGCCAGAGTCCCTTTTTTTTTTTTCAAGCACAAGCAATAGGCTCCATCATCTGCATAAATTATCTCCCTCGATGTATTGAGAACAAAAGGTAGATCTTTCCCAACTAATTGTTACATGCACAAGGGTTGAAAATCAAACCCCCTATCACTTGCTTAAGTAACGAACCTTTACCACTCACCTCCATTTTAGTTGGTTGTCAATGTCCCTTTTTGAAATCCTTTCGCTCACAAAATGAATTTAGAAAGTCCATTCAGGAAGAGATTAACCAAAAAAAAATGCAGCTGTTTGTGGGGCCCACAACTTATTATTAGAACCCACTACTGCACTTTTTTCCTCTATCTCTAATTTCACAGTTTTTATGATGTATTTTACTTTTTTGTTTTCTGTGATGGTTTTGGAGGATTCAGTATGCTTCAGTTTTTGTGAAAGGAGGAAAATATTATGGAGGCAAAGCAACTATGAGCATATGGGAGCCTACTGTTCTAAAGGATGAGTATAGTATCTCTCAAATTTGGGTTATAAGTGATGCTGACAGTCAAAATCTCAATACTATTGAAGCTGGTTGGCAGGTATTCTGTAATCCTTTTGTAGAAAAAAAATGAAAAATAATCACAATTAAAAAGTGTGGGTGTGTGAACATATAAAACTCGCTTTTGACTTTCGGATCATATGCGTAATTAAGTGCACGTGTGTGTACATAAGAAGATTCTTTCACATTATTTATAATCATACTTCCTAATAACATTTACATATTCCCATTTTACTTTGTTATGTATTCTCGATCTTCATATTTTCTAAAAACAGCTATTTTAGTGTTTGAAATTTCTCTATGTGGCTTCCTATATTTATCTCACTCTATGTCGCTATTCTTTAATTTGTCCAATTAGGTGCATCCACAGCTATATGGAGATGACGCGACCAGACTTTTTACGTACTGGACTGTGAGCTCAAATTCCTCAGCAATCATATATATATATATATATATATAGATATATATATATATATATATATTCTTCTAATCATTTTCTTCATCATTTTTATTTTCTTAATTTTTTTTAATATATGACAGAGTGATTCATATAAAAGTACCGGATGTTATGATCTTCTTTGTTCTGGATTTGTTCAACTTGATACTGGAATAGCCGTGGGAGGACGCATCACACCATTATCTGTCTATGGTGATGCTAATTCCCAATATGGGATCACCATCATGATCTGGAAGGTACTGATGAAATGGAAACAATATATACATATATATACAAGCTTCACTAAATGAAGAAACTTTCATGATATATAGTGAATCAAAATGTACAGACATTAATCAGTTTTAAATCCTATATATATATATAGAATCTTTGAGATTGTTAATATATGTTGTAGTAGCTACTTGGGACCATGCAGCAACCTCACGCTTAAAGAGCTTTTGCAATGCTATATACTTTTAAATTACTCTCAAGCATATCAATAATTATAATTAACAAGACATGATTATTCATTATTGTAGATTACATCTATGCAAACATCTCTTGTTATTAGAAAAATGTGATATGTCTAATTCTGTGTATTATTGGTAAAGTGATAACCCTTCAATCCATAATATGGGGCATTTTTTAGAAGAACATTGTTTGGTCAAAAATATAAGACATCAGGTGTTTTTTATATTGTTTTAACTATGTTTTAACTTTCATTTATTATTTCTTTTGAAAAAGATGTTCATTAGAATTTCAATTGTTAGTATTAAAGGCACTTATATAGGGCATTTATAATGAGGGTATAATTTAAAAAAAAAAGATCAAAGTTTCAACTATGTCTTTTTTTTCCTTTAAGAATCATGAAGCAGTTGGCAATGCTCTATACTGTGGACCAAAAATAGTATTAATTATATATGATAATGAGCAGGATGTTAGCAATGGAGACTGGTGGATGCAATACGGCGATAAAGTTATGGGATATTGGGACTCCTCCCTGTTCTCACACCTCTTTGATAGTGCAACAGCGATACAGTTGGGAGGTGAAGTACTAAACTCAGAATCTGATAGTCAACACACCACAACACAGATGGGAAGTGGGCATTTCCCTGCAGAAGGTTTTGGGAAAGCAAGCTACTTCAACAACATTAAATATATTAATGGCCAAAACCAACTTGTTCCTGCTGGTAACTTGGTCCCTTACATTGATCATTCCAATTGTTACGATCTCCGAACTGACCATAATGATGACTGGGGCAACTTCTTCTATTATGGGGGACCTGGTCATATCAGTTTGATGTTTGCAAATGTGTAAGGTCTTATTCAAACTAGACCAGATGTGGTTCCTGCGTTGCATGGGTGCATGTATCTAGATTATTATAAGCTTGTGTTTTGCATAGATGTCTCTTATACAGTGGTTTAATTTGTATGATCCCACAAGCATGAGACCCACTTATATATCGGAATTAAAATGCTACTGTTCATAAGGCACAGACTCTTCCCTATAAAAATTGTATAATGATTGATTGATTGATGAATGCTGATTGATGTATCAAAATAAAATGGATGAGGCTGAAAGGCAACAATAAGCTCAAGATTTGCTTAAATTGTTTTGCTCATATTGTGTCATGAACTCAAGATTTACTCAAAACACAACTTGAACTATCTTGATGACAATCCCAATCCAAATGTTTGTTTGAAAAACAAATAAAAAAGAAAAAAGGCTACACAATTACTCGAATATAGAAATAAGGGAGCATAATGAAGTGGCAGCACATTATTGCAAAAATAAGGAGAAACTCTACCCTCACAAGGACAATGGCCAAAGGGAAAAGAGACGAGGTTCTTCACAATAATATTCACACCTTCTACCATGAAGCCACTCTCATAATGCAACCCTATGTCTCACCTTCCGATGACTTTGATCTCTTTGATCTCTCGGCCCATTCCATCCAAACCCATATTTTTCTCGTGGCCCAACTTGCTAAAGCATTGTATCATGACAATGCTTTGTAGTCATTCCTCTTATATATCACGTGCAGATCTAGCCTCTCCATTTAAATTTTTAGTTTTGAGCAAGTGTGTTGTCACTCATACAGTTTCCACGGTGTATGTAAATCTTAAGTAGGAGATTTTATTTCATTTTTGTATATTTGAAAGTTGTAGATTTGATTTTGTATATTTGTATATCTAAATTTTGATTATATATATTATGTTTAATCAGATTTTCTTATTTTTTTTAAAAAAATGGGGGTTTGCCCTTTTACATGTAAGAAAAGTAGAAATTAACTTTAATTTTTTTAACCCCTTTTTGTCAGTGCGCGTTAATCTGTTTTTTTACAAACAAAAAGTGTTGATTCTATCTACTTTTATGAGAATAAAAAGAAAAGGCTACAACATGGCAAATCAAGTTTCAAATCCTCATTAGAAAAGGTTCCCATATTTAGTACTCGACCATACCTTAAATAGGATTACCTACTACATAGGCAAATGCCTATGAGTGATTAATAAATAAAAACAAAAGTTTAAAAAAAAATCAACTTTGGAATTCTATCTATTCAGATCCATTTATGGTGGTCAAATAAAAAAAATCATACTCATAGTAATTTCCATAATATATATATATATATATATATATCTCAAGCATAAATTAATTGACCGTTTTCTGTTAACACAGGATGAAAAGAAGCTTAAAATAGAGGGGAAAATTAATGTCTGGTAACTCTTGCATTATTACCGTTTTACTAAACTTATTAGTGATTATTATAAGTAAATGAAACCTCAAAACATATCCTTTGGGTCGGTTTTCATTGTAATTAACCCAGATATGCATCATGCCATCGAAATCTCGTAACAAAATGGACAGTAAAGTAATTTAACATTTAACAAACGGTGACACGAAGTCCCTATAAATTCTTGTAACCCCAAATCTTGTACATTGCATTCATATAAGAATTCTCGTATTCATTTATTCTTCTGATATTTCTTACCTTCAATAATTAATTAATGGCGGTAAAATTAGGAAATGAGAGGACTTGGGTAGCGAAATTTATATTTTGTTTCTTGTTTTCTGTACCCATTTCCATGGCAGGCCGAGACTTTGGTAATGCTAGTTCTACTCAGAATCTCGAGGTTGACCAGATTTTGAAGAACTTGAATAAACCAGCTGTCAAGTCTATTCAGGTACACAACAACTTCAATGAGCCAATTTTAACCAACTGGTGGATTTATTTTCAACTTTAAATACTTTAATTATGTGTTTCAACTTGGTGCAACTTAAAATTGTAGAGTCCTGATGGAGATATAATTGACTGTGTTGATATATTAAAACAACCAGCTTTTGATCATCCAAAACTTAAAAACCACAAAATTCGGGTAAGAAAACTTCCTTCTTATGCTTTACTTTCTCTGATTCATTATTTTGATTCTAGCAAGACAATTAATTATTTCTCATCTTGCCTATAAGATGAGGCCAAGTTCTTACCCAGAAGGGATGATAATTGAAGAAAGTGACAATGTATCTTCAAATAAGTCAATGCCTATTCCTCAAGTATGGCACCAAAGTGGAAGTTGTCCAGAGGGAACCATTCCTATAAGAAGGACAAGAGAGGAAGACATATTGAGGGTTGGAAAGAAGAATCCCAAGAACATCCCTTTAACATCAGATTTGCCAGGTCAAGGTAGCCATGAGGTACTTGTGTTATCTCTTCACCCAAAAACGAGAAGCTTTGGGCTTGTTTGAACTATTTTGTAAACTACTCCCTCTAGTTATGTTTATAAGTTGGAGAGAGAATATTTTTTTCCATCATAGTGACAAATCACATCATTGATTTTTAATAGAGGTAAAGTTAAAAATTTGTTAAATATTTAGATAGAATTAATGAGTGCAAAGTTTTTTTTTTTATTCTAATAAAACATATTAGAAGTGACTTATAAATAAATTAAACTAGAAGGATACTTTTTAAAAATAATTTTTGAAAACAAAAGACAAAAAAAAATATGATTGATTATGTTAATCTGAAAATAACTTTAAAATTAAAAAATGGCTAATAAAAATAATCAGTAGTGGTTAATGGTGGCAGCCTATTATATATAGTAGCTTGTAATAGCTAATGACGGTGTCCAATAATCAAATGTAATATGCTATGAAAACAAACAAAACAGTTCCAAGATGTTTCTATTTATAAAACACAAAAAAACAGAACAAATTTAAAAATATTTAACTCTATAACATTATTTTTTAATTTTAAAATCAGAAATTAAACCGGCCATTTAATTTGCATGTTTCGTTTTACTCATTTGAGCTTTCTTATTTTGGTTTGACGGGTTTGGCATTCTAGTATGCAATGGCTTTTGCGAAAGGTGATAGATATTATGGAGCGAGGGCAGCCATGAACGTTTGGAAGCCTATTGTTCAACAAAACGATGAATTTAGTATCTCTCAAATTTGGGTCATAAATAATGATGACAGTCAAAATCTCAACACTATTGAAGCTGGTTGGATGGTATTATTTGTGTTCAAGCGTGTCTAAATATTTCTCTAATTAAGTTTTGTCTCTATATATCATCAATTGTATCTTATTCCCCATATCTCTTTCCCAAAACTCAAACAATTAGGTGAGTCCACAATTATTTGGAGACTCTCGCACCAGACTATTCACATACTGGACTGTAAGTTCAAATTTCTTTGCAACCCTACATTTTGTTTCTTCAAAAATCATACTCTAATGCAATGTTCAGTAGGTAAAAAAATATTTTCTAAAAAGAAAATAGAATCACGTTTCCTTTTTAAAAAACAATTTTCCATTTACCAAACATCGCCTTAATTATTGTTATTTTCTCAATTTTGTTATACGACAGAGTGATTCGTATAGAGACACTGGATGTTACAATCTCCTATGCTCTGGTTTTGTTCAACTCAACGCCGGAGTAGCTGTAGGATCCACCATCCGGCCATTATCTTCCTATGGTAATGCTAATTCCCAATATGAAATCAAGATCCTTATATGGAAGGTACCAATTTTTTGTAACGTTTTCGGTTATATTGCATGATTATGTTAATACATTACTTGTGAATAGTACGACTTGTTACTGATATGATATGATAATGGGCAGGATAAGCTCAACGGAGACTGGTGGATGCAATACGGTGACCATAAAGTTATGGGATATTGGCCGTCGTCTATATTCACACACCTCTCTGGCAGTGCATCTTTGATAGAGTGGGGAGGTGAAATAATAAACTCAAAGTCTAATGGACAACACACAACAACACAAATGGGAAGTGGGCATTTTCCTGGAGAAGGTTATGGGAAGGCAAGCTATTTCAACAACGTTAAAATTGTTAATGACAAAAATCAAATGGTGCCTCCTACTAACATTTTGCCTTACGTTGATCATTCCAATTGCTACTCTCTCCAAATCGGCTCTTCTCGTCGTTGGGGCACCTACTTCTATTATGGGGTCCTGGTAGAAACCCCAGTTGCCCTTGATCCACTAACTTGACTATTTAGATATATATCAACTGATGATTTAATTTGATCTGACAAAAGTGTTGTTTTAATTTGGAATGCTGCTCTTGTTATTTTTAGTCTTGTATAGTTATAAAATTTGTTTTGCTTTCCTCCTCAATTGGTTGGTCTCAAATGCCATGTACATTGTGATGAGGTGAATTGTTGGAATTGGTTGTTCCTAATCGATTGAGTTCATGTTTAAAATACAGAATTGATTTAAACCAAATTCATAAACATAAATAAAGTCCATATCAATTTATAAGAATAGAAGAAACTAAATGCAAAAGCGCACCTGGACCTATCGCTTTGAATCAATCTTTTGACTTGGCGAAAGTGTGTTTTCTAGGTTGTTACCAGATGGAACTTTTGAATGTCTCTAAGAAGGGGAATAGAGAACATTTCCAATCAACGGGACATTAATCTAGTGACCATGCTTCTTATTTAGACTTAAATTGGTGATATTTATGTTTTGAATCCTCAACAAATTATAAATATTACTCTGGTCTCTTCACATCAATCCCATAACAATTATACCCCTAAGCGTAGAAACTATAATATAAATAGATCACTTTATCTAGGCTTAATTAAATAATAACCACACATTTTTAATATTTACATGAGTGACCCCATATATTGAATTTTATTCCAACATGAAATTATTTGATCTACGAGAGAAGGATGAAACGTTTAATGGAAAAAGAAGTTGAGGTTGCAAAAGGGGGGAATATGAATTAGTGGACAGAAAAATAAAGAAAATCAAGTAATTAAAGAAAGGCCAATGAAAAGAAATTTAAAGAAAAGA